CGAAGCCTAAATCTTACAGTACGAATTACAACCACAGCAGTCATTTACAATCCATGAGGCGCATGTTGAACAATCTGTGAAAATGTCTCTCGTTCACGAAGCAGCTGCATGTCGTCATAAATGTTCGCAACATCGTGTGCCGAAAGCTACAGTAAGGCTTGAGGAGGGCAGCTTGACAAGGGAAATCTCTGCAAAGCCTTCTCCGAGAACGAAAGTGACTCACAAGGCCGCTTGCAGCTCGGGGTAGCTGGCCGTGAAGTCCTGAAACTTCTGTTACTTACTCATCACACAACGATTATGACGTGCTTGCGTTTGTTTTTGTGTGGTTTGGCTTGTGATAAATTGCCTTTCAGAAACAATGAAGCCGTCTCACGAGGCTTGGGAGAATGTGAAGCCAGACTTGGCCCAGGAGGCTTCCCCTGTCCGACCTTCACAACATTATGCAAGCTTGCAGGCCTCACGTTGAAAAACATAGTACGTAAGAGGAGTTCTAAACAAAGTCAAAGTCCACGCTGCTCCCCTCTCCCCTGCTCAGCTTGAAACCTTGAAACTCCAACATCTCAGCCATCCGCACGTCTTCGGACCCTTCACAGATGGTGCATTTTGTCGTTCAAATCAAGGGTGCATCGCTTGTCTACCCCCCCCCCCCCTCCCGCTCCCTTGGGATGCCCAGACTCAAGCTTTCCTTAGCCCGTTAACTAAAGAGCAGCGACCCTTTGGGAATGCGGGGGAGGGGGTGGGGTATCCGATTTTTGGCGCCTTTTGGAACTTCTCGCGATTTTTGGGAGCGATGACGCTTGGGCGAAAGCGAGTCATTGCCAGGATTGGGGCATGTTCTCGCGGTTTTGACTCCGCGCTGCCAAAGCTGCCCCCCCAGACAACTGACTGCGAAAACCTCAAAACCTGGTGGCAAGTGACCCTCCCCAAAAGAGAACGCAGCCTTGACAAAGAAGTCCAGGTCAGGCTCAACCTTCCCCGGCGCACCATAAGGAATCCAGATTCTTGAGGTTGGGTGGTGAAGAGCTTGGTGTCAAGTCTGCAGGGATGGGTCTCCAGTAGAATGGTACGCTATGTTTCAAGTGGCGCGAGCTTGTCTGCCACCCGCCGGTCTGTAACAGCACTACTAGGTGCATGGGATCCTGGCTTGGGATGAGGGTCTGCATCGTGCCCCGGCATGCCCCTTGTGATGCAAAGATATGTAAAGCCAAGGCGTGGCTTTATACCGTTATACCCGATGACGCAACTCAAGCTCTCTGTCCGCAGATTCAAGAGGCTTGTGCTGCCAGTGGAGGCTCAAAGCCGCGGTTAGCCTTCTGTGGGTCTCACGCCCACCAGATGCCAAAGAGAGCGGCGCCTTCTCACGTGCGGCTCCACCAAACCGGTCGGTGAACACCTCGGGACATCGGGCTAGCTGGCACCTTTCAAGTTCTCGAGCGCGGATGCTGAACGTGTGGGCTTGTCAGGTAAATCCCGGCTCTCCCTTCCAGCAGACAGGCTCTAAAAGACTCCAAAGGCCCGATGCCTTTTTGGACTGCGGAGACTGACACTGACGTCCAACTACCTTCACTTGCACGTCTCTGAAAATTCATCCGGTACAAGCCCCCGGCAACGCCATCCAGATGGTCATACTCATGCTGAAAGAGTCGTGCCTGCATCTTGGCGTGCGAGGCGTCTGGCCATTGCAATTTGGGTCTATGTTTGCGGGTGCGGCAGTAAAGACTTCGGTTTCGGAGGCAGCATGAGAAGGCTCGTGTGATATATTTGCCAACAAGGGTGTCTTCATTCGAAATGAGGCAAGGGGTTGTGCCATTCGAGAATTTCTGAAGTCTGAAGTTTCGCAGGCGACCGTAGAAGGGCATCCCTCATCGCAACAAGGTGCTGACAGGGTCTGAAGCTCCAGGTCGTAGGATTGAAAGTAGCTGGCAACTTCCAAGGGCTAACGCCTCAAATGCATAAGAAGCTGCCCTGCGAAAACACAAAGACTGTGGCCCCTTCATTGAAGTACTTGAGGACCCTTGAGGGCCAGGTGTGTAGGACGGATTGGATGCTTTGAGGACGTTACTGTCTAGGCCGGCCCGGTGCTCAAACACTGTCTTCTTTCCGCCGCATAACATCAAGCCTGTCAGGCTTCTGACTTCTCCCATGGTGTGTGTTATCTGCTTCACTACGCAAACAACCCCAGAAGGAACCCCCAATCTAGAGCAAGCCCCGTGTGCTGTGCCTGCTTGGAGACTGGCACATGGAGATGTGCTAGTACCGTTTTGTTTCTGGTCTCCTGCACATTGACGTGATGACTACGCACTTATCCATGCCTGTCGTACCCATCACCTTTCACAATAACAGACCTCAGGGGTACTTCGCGTCTGTGAGCTTCCTTGGCTTGCCGGGACTTTATGTAGATCAGCGATCCTAGTAGGCTCCCTGAAGTTGTTCATGTCAAAGGTGTTTATCTACTTGCCAGACTGATTAGCTGCGCTGTTCCTGCAATAGGAAAGCAGCATGAGTGTAGAAAGTGTCGACGCCTGAACAAGGATTCTAGAAGTCATGGCATGGGAACACCGCGCACAGACCCTGCCAAGCAAATCCTTGACGGTGGCTACCATATCGTTTGCACCGAGGATTCTGAAGAGGTGAATCTCCCTTCACGACATCCGAGGTGGCCCCCGTATACCAACAGTCCTGAATTAATGGGGATTAGAATCGGGGGTACCATGATGCCTGTTAAGGACTGTTAGTTTCAGGGGGAACATCCCAACATCCAAGTCTTTACGCCAGGGAGCACAAGCTCGTCCCAAAGGCGCTTGCGAGACGCCTCCTGCACTGGTGCGAGGCAGGCGGGACTTCTTGTTAATGCAGCACCCCAAGTCCATTGTATTCTTGTGAGAATAAGGTGGTTGTGTCCGTTTCATTTTGCGATATGCGACTCCTTTGCACTTGAAGCTTGGATTTGCCCATGGTCATTCGCCCAAGGGAGTTTAGAAGACTTGGAGCCTTCAAGCTCCCAATACTTTTGGCAAGCTGCATGCCAGCATTCCGAAATGCATGATGTAGGTTGTAGCCACTGCAACTACTGCAGCCTGATCAATACATTCATCGAAAGTACAAGTTGACGCGTGCTTGATGCGCACCTGTCGAAGGGAGTAAGGGGTAAACGTGGCTAGGGCAAACTACCTGGTGCCTGAGCCAGAAACCCAACAGCCTTCTCGCCACAGCAGTAACCATTCCCCTCGCCGGATTTCGTCTGGTAGTAGTCCTGAGCAGCTACTGGCACATCTGTGTGTCGCTGTGCTGACATACACATCATCAGTCTCGGGCATCCAGAACAGGGACCATTGTTGAGAATCTCAGAGCTGGTAATGGCTGTTGCCAGCGGAATTCCCTAACATCCAGAGCTTGTGAATCTTAAGATGTATGCCGGCATAGACCCACACGCCAGTCTTTTGTGGCCGGGTGCGAGCAATTCAAGAAGCTTTTTCGCAGTCATCCAGGCAGGCGTCCTCTGTTAGCATCTTAAAGGAAGTGGTGGCCGAGCGCACCTTGGCAGCGCGGGTTTGTCAGAAAAATGCCATACAATGCATCTGCATGTTTGCTCCGAACCGCCAGGTTGAAGTCAGAGTACACCTAAAATGACCTACAGCCCCTGCCCCTCCCCTCGACCCGCAAACGCACCCTCACCCATAAAAGCGGCAAAGCACGGCACAGCGTCAAGCACACTCTTCTCTAAGTGTCGATGCTGACGATGCTCATGAACTCTTGTCAAGCTACAGGTGCGCCGCCAAAACCCCATCCTGCTCTCAGCATCTTGGTGTCCTGGGTGCAGGCCGGGACTTGGGTTTGTTGGGTTGAGCCAAGGGCTAGTGTTATGGCTGCCCTGACCAAAAGGCAGGTTCAAGACTTAGCTTCCCCCGATATTCGAAAGCCCGAAACCTTTGGGTCTGCGGGCCTAGGGACCCCTTGCCAAAGGTGTTGGGCTTTCCTTGTGAATCCGCCTGGCGACCCTCGATGTCAGAGTTCATGGGCTCTTTGGTCGCGAGTTTGATTCAGGTTCCCTGGCCACCTGCTGTGGATGCCCGTTTCACAGTGCTTGGGGGATCCCATCGCTTTGCAGAGCTGTGCCCTTTCAGGTTTGAGGGTATCGGAATCGCCTTATTTATTTGGGGCATGCATGGGCCATGGGCATACCGTTTAACCTCTGCAAAGTGCCCTGTAGCCTTGCCTCATAGAGCATATTATAGTACCCCTTATTACAATCCCATATTCAGGACTGTTAGTAGAAGGGGAGCATCCCAACCAAGGGCCTTTTCTCTGGTCCAAGCAACCACAGTTCCTGGGTCCATGGTGTGGAAGCAGAGCCTGCCCAGCGAAGCGCCATGTCGGGCTGGGGCAAAGACATCGCGAACCCTACCCATACAAGGGAATGAATGCCCAACTGTCGAGAAGCCGCAGGGCCCAATTGACAAGCAACTGCTAAGGGTTCAGGCTTCTGCTGCTGCGGGAAGCATGAACTACACGAAGAACCAAGCACAATCTCCCAACACAAGCATTCAACAACGTACCATTCGTATGGCATCGGCCCAGTATGGCCCCATGAGGCACCAAGGTTGCAAGTTAAAAAATGTCCGGGGCTGGGTGGGAGCTCCGCTCTCGAGGACAGGCTGGTCAGGACACTTGCACGTGTTGGCACATGCAGCTGTTTCCTGGCACAGCAGATGCAACATTTCAGAAGTTCCCTTCGTCAAGGCTTTGCATGTTTGCGCTTTTTTGGCCTTGGTGGATCGCCATAGCGCGCATTGAGCTCCATGGTGATCATGGCGTCCTCAGTGCAAAAGGCAAGGCCAACCTCATCTCAAACAGGAGAACTGAATCTTGCTATACGCCTTCTCATAAGTCAACACCTCGCGTGGTTGTGTCAGAAATTTGGTCTGGAAACAAACGGCACTATCCACATCAAGGCAACCTTGTGAGCTGGCATTACGAATAGAAAGCGCATGTGATCCGAATCATTCGGAACTCCGGACGTCCCTGAAATCCCGGCGACTCTGCAGACACGCGGCACAAAGCTTGCTTAGCTCGTACGCTCTGTGGTCCGACCAGTGCTTCTCACATTGTAGGTCCGACAAGGCCTTGGGATTTGGGATGCGCGGAACCCGAAACACTGGAGCAACTTCTGGAGCAACTGCAAGGCTATCCGCTGCTACCTAGTTCCAAGGTTACTGCTTTTCTTTCGTTCAAGGGGCTTAGGCTGGGGGCGGGGGGCGCCCTTGCTCCCACTTCCCCACCCCCCCCCCCCCCCCCCCCCCCCCGCCCGCCTGCTCCGAAACCCTCAGGCGGCACCGTACCCGATGCCCAGGTAATTACATTTAGCCCAGGTCGTCCTGGACGTTTCGGAGTCACGACACTTGGAGCTGTAAAGTACGGTCTGTCCTCCTAGCATTCAGTTTCGAATTGTATTTGTAGAGTTGTAAATATTACAAACAATTTGGCAAGGCTTCAAAGGAATTCCTCTTGCGTTGGTGGCATTGTTCATTCAAGCACTGGGGAGGCCCGCCCCACCCCCCCCCCCCCCCCCCTTCCCACCCCCCCAAACCCCCATTTGCGCAAGGACGGGTTTGGAAAGGATTCTCATGGGTTTGAAGGAACCCCTCTTGATGGCATGTGTTCTTTAAAGTTTAACGCGAGCTTGCCTTGCCCTGGCTGAAAGTGTGGGAGGGGAAGGAGCGTTTGGGGCACCCCCACCCCTGAACACGATACTTATATGACAGGTTTGGTGTCACGGGTTCGCCGCTTGCTTGCCTACTCTTGCCCTGCTTGCTGTTGATTTGCTTGCTTTCCTTGCCGTTGGCTTGCATGCTTGCCGGTTGTCTTGCTTGCCTTGTGCCGTGTAAAAGACAAACGTGACAACGCGGAACGGGAATTCTACAAACAACAAAAATCGAACAAACAAGAACGGCACGACAAACACTGGACCCCTCTATCTTCCTTGCTTCCAGCATGCTTGAGCTTGAAGAGAGGTCTCCCCAAGGGGGGAGTGTCTCTACCTCTTTCTGCACGGCTTGGGGTTAGGTCAGCGCGCCGATGTTCAAGGTTCGTCCAGGTGAAAGGACAAAGTGCTCGCTGGCAAGCCCGACACGATGGCGGAGCGATGAGGACCCAGTTCCACTAACAGGCGTTAGGGACATACAGTAATTGACATGAGACTCAAGCCTCTCATCCCCAGGAAAGCTCAGTTTGCTGTCTGGGCATCAGCCTGGAACTGGGACGTCTCTAACCTAGACTTGCACCTCAAGGTCTTGGTGGGTTTACGCAAATCTCAACCTTCCAAGACTTGGAGTTGGAGGGGCCCGCTGACACAGTGGCTTGTAAGGCCAGGGCATCCGTTGAGCCGGCTGAGATAGACGAAGTGATGAGGACGCGGCCTCAAGAGAGCAGGACGGGTAGCGGGTAGTTGCCTCACGACTTCCGGCGTTTCCCAAGGGTGTGGGGGGGGGGCACGACCGTGGCGCAGGCCTCTGGAGTATATGGGGCACCCTTCATGTCAAAGTCGCGTGTCATGCATACGGGCCGCTTTCTAGACTCTGGCCTTGCAAGCCTTCCGAAACTTGACTCATGACAAATAACACCCTGTGTGATGATTTCGGAAGCCTCTCTGCGGCCGACTCAGAAGAGTGGACATTGCTAGACAAAAAGCTCTCCCCACAAGCACGAATAGGCTGCCTGCGCCGGACGCGCGGACGTTTTCCAGAAGCAGCGACGTGAGCAAAAATGGCGCCAGTACGTTGACTGCCAGCCTGAGTTTGGGATGGAAGCAGAACCCGTCTCCGTGTCTTTGTCTCCCGATGCGTGAGACAAGCCCCGCTTCACAACCGGGTTCCTGGCGAGTATTCATTGCCTTCAGGCGTCACCTTTCGCTTGCCTGTGTAGTCCCCTGCGAAGGTACCTTCGGGCTTGTAGGACTTAGCGAATGTGGAAGTAAATAGTTTGCTTTGATGGGGCATTGTTGCAATACATAAGGTTCCAGTGGAGGGCCACAATGTGCTCCGGTCAAGGAGCCCGGTGCTGATCTGAAATCTTGCACACAACTCCTAATTGCGTTCCTCGCGGATCCAGGCACTCATTAGAGTCGCATGCCCTGGACAAGCCAATGGCCCAGCCTGCGTTGTTGAGCAAGCCGTGAATCACCTTTGCCGGGCTCATGGACGTTTGGGGCCGAGTGCAACCGCCATGCACTTCGACGCACGCCGTCTGCAAAGAGTTGCTGTGAGAAAGCTGATGATGCTTCGCCGCGAAGCTGCCCATGTTTGTGGGATATACACCCTGCGAATCCCTACCATGCTTAAACGCACTGCAATCAGGTCCGGTTGCTGGAAACTGCTTCGACACATCTTCACCAAGCCTCGTCGAACACACTTGGGAGGGACAAAATGAGACCCGCTAGGCGTGCATGAGAACCTTGCATGGTTTCGTTGCCGGTGAGCATGCGTGCCGCACCCAGGAAACAGTAGACATACTCGTCAAATCGTGTTAAAGCAAATGCCTATACTCACTATGACGGACATATGCAGGCTTCCTGTCACGCCCAAGCGGGCCTCCGAACCTCAGATGTCAGACTCAGGTCGGCCACCTAGGCTGTTCAGTCATGGGCTCGGTTTCAAGACAGGCTCCGAGGATATGTGGGCCATTCTGGTTTAGCATCCTGACCTTTGAGGACCAGAAACTGCGAATTTTCTACTAGCTGAGACGCGACCGAAGAAACAAGACAGGAAGAACCATCAATACTCTTCCGTAGCAGTGACAAAGTCTGTAGAAAAGGGAGCGGTCTTCTCAGGGATGCGGACCAGCATAGCACATGCACTCGAAGTGCTCCTGCTTCCCTAAACAAACATGAAGCTGCTCTTAAGGCCCAGCACCCCTTCGACCCTAATCTTCAAATCGAACCTGAGCTGCCCAACCGGAGCTGGGTGGCAAATCCATGGACTTTGGCACCAAACTTCTGCAAGGACTTGACCAAGGATTCCTTAAGGGCTGCGTGGTGACTGCCTGCCCTGGACAGGTTCCACAGAAATAGGTGCGGGTGCAGAGCGGCTCTCTCGAGGATTCCAGGGATTCAGGCACGCGTGACCAGTTAAAATGAGCCTTGAAAAAGCAAGGACTTATTTGGCTAGACCCGGAACGCCGCATCACCCAAACACACTGACATACTGACACGGCTGACGGGAAAAAGTGTACCTTGGTGCTATCTTTTCATCATGCTGAACAGAGGATGTTCGGCGTTACAAGTGATCTCTCATCAGTCGATGTATGCCTAAGCGACGCTGGAACGAACTATGACTGGGATCCTGTTTTTAACAAAGGCCAGGCATCGACCTTGGCTGGATCACGCCCGTGCACAATGAGCGTACAGCGCTCCTGCAAAGGCCATTCGGAAGCTGGTTCTGAGATTCACGCTGCCGGCAGTGCTTTTTAACCAGTTTCGCGGAGTAGGACAAGTTCACTTCTGAAAATTTAACTTCAACTGAGCATCACTGACACAAGACCATCTTCCGACACACTCCCAGTTTCCTGGCCTGGGAGGCGAGAATCATACATGTCTGGGTACATCCTTTGAAGAGACCCTTTTTAAGGCTGCGCATGCATGCTTTTTGGAACAAACCCCCTCCAGGTACCCTGAACCACGAGCCCGGCACCGATTTTTTTTTGCTGCCTCATCCTGCATCATCCCTGGCTCCCGTCAATGACGCGATTGTCTGTTCTACTAAGGGGGCTTACAAAAATAAGGGACCCAAAGCCCCCTCATATTCTAGTACCCCAGATGATGGGATTCCCTTATAATAGGGACCCATGAAGGACCCCAATAAAGTACGTACCCTAGTTTCGGAAACCCCCCTCCCAAAAAAGCTGCAGGCTCCTTCGCAAGCAGCTCGGCTGTGAACTCGCCGATGCCAGAGGTGGCCCCCGTGACAAGGAACACACGATCTTCGAGCTTTTCCATGGCCCGGGACTGACTGTGCAGAAAGTGCAGTGCTGGCCGCTACATGATCGCAGATGTTCTGAGTTCTGAGTGACAGATAGGATGTGGGAGTTACTTCAGGCAGAACCACATATCCCACGTCAAGAGTAGAGACGGTTTGGGGTTGGGCTGCTTCTCGTCCCACGAGTAGAGGCCGCAATCCCAAGCCCAGGCCTAAGTTAACATGCCCGGATGATGATGACGATGGTGGTGGTGTTGATGATGATGCAGATGATGATGATTCTTGTTCTTGTTATTGTTATCTGTTATATGTACTGGTATTGTCACCACTTGCAAATTTCTTCGACGCGAGTGCTAAGTGCAAGTTTGCTTCAGCAGGCTTCTCTGGGCCTCGGCAAAATAAGCTTGGCAGAACTTGTGACCCGGATTGTCAACCAAGAACAAATATCTTCTTCTTCCTCTTCTTCTTCTCGTCCTCCCCCTTCTCTTTCGCAGTGCCGTCCCAGAGGACAGACAAACAGAAGTGAACTGCTCCCCATTGCACCTCGAAGCCTTCGATTCGGCGTTGGAATGGGTTGCCATCCCAATCTACGGCCTTGCGGGGCTGAGGCTGGGAACACGGTTTTTGTCAACCCTGGTAGCCCAATGGTGGAGAGGATTTGGGGCAGTTTTGGAACTTCTGATAGCCTGGAAACAGGGTTCCATGCAATTGGGGTCTTCCGGTGCCAAAAAAGGGCATTGACAGGAGAGCATGACGCCCAATGACACTTTGTCTCTTGGTACAATGCTCTGTCTTGGGAAGTTTGGCAAACGGGCTGAAGAGCAGCCTTTGCAGGCCCCACTAAAATCTGTCCAAGTATTCTGCTAAAGGTGTATGTCGTGGACATCTTCAAAGCATTTCTTGGTTGAGCACAGCTTCTGTCACGCCTCCTTAGAACCATTTTTGAAACCTGAACCCCGGACACTTTCTACGACCTCTGAGTGCTGAGTTCCAATGCACCGAATGAAAGAAACCCATGTCTGCCATATGCACTTAGGCCAGGCATCGCACCTACCGCTGCAATCCGGACCACAATGCGGAACAAGGCAATGTACATAATACGGCCTCGTGCAAAGCCTTACATCCTCTATTGGCAAAGTCATCATCGTTGAATTTGGGGTACGATGGACATCCACCCCTCAAACCCCCTCAGCACTTGACAATCTTAACATGTGCATACACCAAGCTGTTTTGCTCTGCATGCGCACCAATGAAGCTTTCACATGCGTGGAAATGGGATCATTAGCAAAGCCACCACGACGCACCCGGAAGGTTTTTTGTTGGAGCTGGTGGGCCGGAGGGCTTGACAAAGGCGGGTGTTCGAGTCGTATTGTCAGGGCACTTGGCATTCTACTGCAGCGGGAGTTTCTATATCCAAGTTCAAGTAGGCCCATCAGCAAGATGTCGGATGCAACCTTGATGGCAGATACGCGCGGGTCCGCAGGGACAATTCTTTGGTCCTGGGATTCCCCGCGGTATAAGTGCTCAGTCATGCTTAGTCCAAACATTCCAGACATTGAGAGCAGCAGCTTGGAAGCCGCAAGCCTAAGAATGCAAGTGTTTGAGCCTGAAGTCTTGAAGTCTTGAAGTCTCGAAGCCCACAAGCCCCACTCCCTGCGTCATTCCACAGCGCTGTCGCTACCTCTGGAAAGCTCGCGCTGTGCACATCCATCACAGGCCAGCAGGCCCTCCACCTAGGGAAGTGCAGAGTGTAGCGGATCCAGGCTGACTGCATTCTTTGAGACTTGCGAGGCTCAAGAGGACTCAAGATGAGGCTCCCCTTAGCCCAACAAAAGCCACGCTACCTACGACTGCTCACCGCAAAGCCCCGCATCCACTCTAAACTCCGCGGAATGACTATCTCTCAAGGCATATGAGCGTGAGGTGAAGTCTACTGTGTAAACACCCGCTCGAGGCCAAGAAGTCGACGTGGCTTCAGTCTCTGCGCGAATTCCAACTCCTTTTTCCCACATCCTGTGACTCTGCTTTTCCGACCCCACACCTGACTGTCTCGCAGAGCCCAGGGGCCCCTAAACCCCAAAATGTTCCCGAACTTCGAACATTTAAAATCCTTCAAGGAAACCCTGGACATGTTGCAACCATCGTCCCAGACCTCTTCGGCGCTGCCCGGCTCCTGCCCCTGTGTAGGGAAATCTTGCAAGGAGTGGGAATTGGCAGAGCCCAGTGACTTGCAAATGTCTCTCCCTCTCGCCTTTGGGTCCACCCAGGACAAGGCATCTTTCCAGCGCTGCTCCCAGCCGTCTATCCACTCCTGGGATCTCTTAGATGTTCGCAGGAGTTGGCGCAGGTTAGTTCGCCGGTTTTGGGAAAGGTGCCTTTCAGGTTGCTTGTAGGGACAAGCTGTGGAATCTGTGGCTCAGGGGCAATATATAACCACCAGCTAGATCTGAAGATTCAGACTGCTGAGCTGCGAGTTGACGTTCCCTGACACATCTACTCATGGTCAAGCTGTTGTACGGAAACACCGTTTTGGCAATAGAGGCACATCTCCGTACGAACGTTTCGCCACATCTCAAACTACAACACATGGCTGTCTAGCATGGTGCTTCTGCTACTGTTGATGTCCAACACCGTCCCCCATTTTGAAGTATGCCGCCTCATCAACTCCGCCTGAGGCACGCGAAGTCTGGTCTGCAGGTCGAGTCTCCAAATTCTCAGGGTTACGATTTTCTTTCCTTGGCTTGCTGGACATGTCGCCCCGATCAACTCTGCAGTGGAACCCTAAACCTTAAACTCAAAACTCTACACATCCTGCTGACATTGAATTTTACTCGCCCTCTGTATGCCAAACCCTTCCAAAAGTGCGAAGGCTTGTACAAAGTGCCTCGACTTGGGTTCTTAGAAGCATTACGTGCCAAATGAAAAAGCTCTCAGAGCTCTTGGAAATGGAACTACACACACACACTCCATGCATATATATATATATATGTATATATGAGCCTGAGACCTTTGGGGTTCTTTTGGCTTAGTTTTTACAAAGGTAATTTAAACATGTAATATACATCTAAATATACTTAAACAAGAGCAACTATATAATAAAGCATCCTCGTATAGCACATCTCTACAGTGCTCGTTTCAAATTCTTAAACCATTTCTTGATGTTGTATGAATGTTAGTCTATTTCTCTTACCTATATATTCCATCATGATTCTCGTCTAGTGGACATGCTTCCCAACAGAAAACACCTCTGCAGTGCTCGTTTCAATGTTTTTTTCATGTTTTTGTTGATGAAAATGCGTCTGTCAATGCTGTTCTGTTTCTCCTGCCTATATATTCCATAGTGGTTCTCGTTTTTTCGATATGCATCCTAACAGAAAATATCTCTACAGTGCTTGGTTCAACAATGTTCATGTTTTGTTGATGAAAATGATTCTGTGAATGCTGTTCTGTTTCTCCTGCCTATGTATTCCATAGTCATTCTCGTTTATTCGGTATAGATGCATGGGACCGGGCCGTTGCCAGCGTTCGGCCAGTGACATGGGAGGGACAAGCACTCGAGGATTTCCTGCCAAGTTGGTGCTTCAGGGCCCCAAGAAAGGGGCATGGTCAACAAGGAAGGGCACTCCGCTTGCAAGGCCGAGCAGAGGGTTGCTTGAGAAGACCTCCCTGCTGGACTAGCGGCCCGAAGTCTGCCGTTGATGTCGACAGACAGTTGGGCTCCTCAAGACGAAATGCCGGCTGAGTTGCAGGATAACTGCAAAGGCATAAAGCCCCCAAGCATCGTGGAACTGGTTTTGGCCACCATACCCACCAAGGTCTGCAGCTTCTCCGCGATGGAATACGAAACAAGGTGATTCCGGTACTCCCAAGGCCTGCCAACTAGCGAAAGCTGCAGCGTGGTGCTGCCCGAGCCTATCACTCTTGCCGCCACTTCAGGCAAGAGTGCAGCACACTCAACCTCTCTGGCAAAGCTTTGTTTGGAGCCTACCTTGAGCACATAGTCACCACACACATCATAACCAAAGCGGGTGCGACCACGGTGAATAAAACATGAGACGTCTTCACCAGAACCCATATGCCACACATGGATCTGGTCTCTCGGGAGCCCATGCAGCAGGTCACCATAGCTCAGGTCCGGCACATATGCCACGAGCCCTGGAAGGGTGAACCCGCAGGAAGGCAAGTGCAGCCAGGAGCTTGAGAAGAAGCTCCTTTGTCGCCAGCGTCAAGGGGCAGGTAGACCAGTCTGAGAAGGTGGGGCCCCTGGCCCGCCCGCCCGCCCCCGCCCGCCCGCCCGCACACACGCACACACGCACACACGCACACACGCACACACGCACACACGCACACACGTGTGTGCACACGCACACGCGCACACGCGCACACACGCGCACAAACCCACACACCCACACACCCACACACACACACACCCACACACACACACCCACACACACACACACACCCACACACACACACACCCACACACACACACACACACCCACACACACACACCCACACACACACACACCCACACACACACACACCCACACACACACCCACACACACACACCCACACACACCCCCACACACACACACACACACACACACACACACACACACACACACCCACCCACACACACCCACCCACCCACACACCCCACCCACACAAGAGAGAGAGAGAGAGCGAGAGATTGAGAGCGAGAGAGAGAGAGAGAGAGAGAGAAAGAGAGAGAAAGAGAGAGAGTGCGCGCGCACACCCGCACACACACACACACACAAACACAAAAAACAAACAAGAAAAACACAACCCCAAAAAAAAGGGAAAAAAGGGAGGGGAAGAAGACACTATCACTCGGACAGAGGTCAGGCGGAGGACAGGGGGTGCTTTTGGGGGGAGGCCCCTTAGTGTCGCCTCCGGGTCCGCACCTGCCCTAAAGAACCGCAAGACCATACAGAATCTGTCCGACCCGGAGAATTACCAAGATTGTTCTTTGAGAATCCTTGAAGGCGGGGTAAAAGGCATGCCGTCAAGGCCCCAGGGTTAAACAGTTCAGCAATCGGGAAAGCTGAAAACTTAACAACACTTAAAACTTGAAACTGCTACAGACGGGTGCCCGGAACTCTGCATCCGAAACCCTCATGAGCCAAATAGCCACCCTGAAGCCTCAACCTCTGAACCCCTAACGACCATAACCGCCAGAGGGATTCCATTTGCCCCAGCAGGCCAAGGGCCATGGCTGGCTCTGCCAGAAGCCTGAGGGAGGCGAGCCAGAAGTTCGCGACAGCGGGTGCTTGTCCACCAGCTTCGAGGCACTTCCGTTGCTGTTCCAGCTTCGCCCCGTCGTTGCGACACACTGGGCTGCACATAGCTACCACAGTTCTAAGATGGTTTGTGGACTGATCACTTCGAGCAACAGAAGCTGTGCTGTCAAGGATGCCTGATATCATTTAAGAAACAAATACATATTTTATCGTATACATGCATAATAATGACAGGCGCAATGTATATTGCCAAGCAGGCTGGCTCTCTCAGAAACTATGCCTGAAGAGAACATCGGGAGCGCAGCAACTTTTACAACTTCTTTGTGATAACGTAGCATTATGTGCGTAGGCTAAGGCTCCGAAAATAATGTAAATAACTTAAATATTTTAATTCTTTAATACGTTCTCTATACATAAAGAAAAAACAGGTAGCAACATAGCACATAAACGTCCCCCTCTCTCTCAAATATATATATATATATGTATACATATGTGTTACATGTGTGTGTTCATATATATATATATATATGTATGTATACTTTCTTTCTCCCCACCCATCGTGATCTCAAACCCAGTAGCAGGAACTCCTGGGCAAGCTCCACCTCCGCTTTGAGGTTGAACTCAGGGTGGGCCAGGCCGATCTCCACATACCTTATGGTTCCAAGAAGATCAAGAGTTCAGGGATCTCTTTTTCCTAAACCCTTTTTGCATCCAGTAGAAAAACCCCAAACCCCAAAACCTAACCCTAAATAAACCCTACCCGAAACCCAAAAACCCTTAGAGGGCTTAGGGCCGTTTAGCCTTGGATAGTCAGACCACGGAGTGATGAGGGGCTCGGGGTTCTGCACGGGCTCTGCGTTCGAAATTTAACTAGGTTCAGCAAAAGGAACAAATGGAACCGCTTCAGAGACAAAAGCAGCCATATTGACATATTACAAAGCCGAAGACCCTTTTTTTGGCTGAACTGCTACCTATCGTCTACTTCTTCTTCTGCAGGGCTTGAGGGCGATGGAGGTTCACCCCAATTCACGCGCACAAGCGCGCCCGAAAGCCCTGTTCTGAGGTCTGCGTGATTACAACATGTACGAGGAGACGTCCCTCCGCCCAGACAACACGGAAACAAACACCCCCTCTCGCGTTCTCTCTTTTTTTGCACGCTTTGGGGTCCCCCAGTTGGGGAACCCGGCCACGACGGCCATGCGGGTTCGCGTCCAGTCATTAATCGTCTTGGTGTTCGGGCTGGTGAGATACACGTCGGTTCTGTTCCCCGACGATTTCGACAACACGCAGGCCCTCCCTCTCTCTCTCTCTCTCTCTCTGTGACTACTTTTGCTTCTGCAAGACTTCAGTAGGCACCTTCTCCAGAAGGCCGAGCTTGGGCATAGGTACCGGTACCCCAGTCACTAAACTCTCGAGTCCTGAACCCAAGAACCCAGGTAGCTTACTTAAAGTCAGCCATCGGCACGCTGAGGGCCGAAAAGGCATCCGAGCCTTGACGTAGAGGGCGCGGTGAGCAGGAACAAGATACACCTGCATCTGAAGTGGGTGTAAGGCCTTTCAGGAAAGAAAGTGTCCCTCGCCATGTTCGGGTGCCCCGACAGTCTGTTCTACATGTCCTATGGACACGATTTTGGGGTTGCGGTTTCGATCGGACTATGGCTCGGGCTTTGTCCTTTTGTCCGCTAGGCATTACCCCGTAGGCTTGAGAGTTTTGGCCAAACACAGCAACCCTCAGCCAAAGCCGTAAGCCTTCATATCAAAATACGCCTAATACACCATGAACCCTTATCAGCCCTCATCGGCCCACTGAGATCCACTGATGCCTCGGGCCGTAGGTGTCTTGGTAGCAGACCCCCCCCCCCCCCCCCCCCTCCCTTCCACTACTTGCCCCCCACCGCCTTCAAGCCAACCCCGCTTCACCTCTATGCACCCCCCCCACCCAGCTTGTTTTTCTTGTTGTACCGCCGCGTCTGGGGTGCCTGGTTCATACTTGAGCCTCAAAAGGGCGCTGCGCAGGCCCAGGCCGAGGCGGGTCGCCCTAAAGCCCTAATCAGCCCTAAACTCATCATAAACACCCCTAAGCTACCATTACCCTCAAGTCACGCAAGCTCCAGGTTCCAGGTTCGCGCCGAATAGTACACGGAACTCAGGCTCCAGCGATCCAGACGAACATTTGAATGCCAAACGCGAAATACCTGGTGTAGGCTTCATGGGGTTTAGGGCTGCGGAAGGCCACTTTCTAGCTCCCTATGTGGGCCTCATGCTTGTAGTACATCTTGCAATTACATTTACATACTACCATCAGCTAGTCCGGGTTTGGTTGCTCGGATACTCTTGTGTGTACGTCGTGAATGTTGTCTTCCACCTGCGACATGGAGCAGGATAAGATTGCCCGCCCATTTTCAACCCACCAGCACGACTAGACTGCAGCGGAAGAATCTGACCATATGCCCAGAACAAGGCTAAAAAATATACTACAACCGAAGCCTACTCACTTCTTGCCAAGATGTCAGGCTCAGCCTCATTGACCATTGTCCATATTCATTCCCGACAACTTCTTACAACCAGCTTCCAAAATTTCGAGCTTACACAGGAAACTTTCAGCTTGACGAATCAGCGACGTGCCCCGCCCCCCCCCCCCCCCCCCCGTCATTACTGTTGCAAGTTCACACACCCTCGCGCCGGCACTCGGCAGTTTCTAGAAAACACAAAAACTGAACTCTTCGTAGACAAGCTGCATGATTCCAGCCAGCGCGCACCGCCAAGCGACTCGCGGGCCGAAGACAAAAAACTGGTCGCAAATGGCAGCCACCATGGGCAAGGACAAGACCCAGGAAGCCCAGATCAAGCAGGAAGCCTCGAACTTGCCGGGTTCGAGCAGTTTTGTACTGATGTAAACTTATGCTGTTATGCTCGGCGCCTTGCGGCCCAGCAATGCACCCTTAAGCACTTCACTCCATGAGACATGGCGGAAAATGCCCACAGTGGCCAATTGCGGGGTAGTGGCAAGGAGAAGGATCCAAGCCACTCTGACAGCGAGGTTAAAGCGAGGGAAATGGTACCTCATTCTTCAGGGGAACTCCAGAAATTCTGGCGGGTGCTGGATCTTACGGTTTCTGATGGTTTTTGGCTGTTTCGCTAATTTTAGCCAGCTGGAGGCTCTGAAACATTCTTCCTGTAGCGGCCCGGCCCTACATTCCTGCTTTGGACGGCCAAACGCTCATGTTCCTTCGAATGTCTTTGCAATGCGCAGCTCGCAAGCTGGCATGAACATGGACATGTAAATACTACAGGCTGAAGCATGCTTCGAGGGTGGTTAACTTGAACCCTCCGCTGCTCTTTTCTCTGCACATCTTAATCTTAGCTTCTCAAATTGTCTTCTTCTTGGCTCGTCTGCTCCAGAAGGACAAACCCAGCAACGATGCAAAGCCGGCTTGTTGTGGTCTTGGAAACTCGCGTTTTTGCACTACACAGAAGCATAAGTATAAATATGCATAGATACATACATATATATATATATATGTATGTGTGTATCTATGCATTTTATTCTATAACTTGATGTTCCGTTTATACATGCATGCTGTGTCGCTATCTTTTGGGTTTAAACATTCCTGGCGGCTCCCACAGTTCGGGCCGTGCCCGCAAAGCCATCCAATCGATAGGGAGCGACCTGAAAGGTTTAAAGGCGTTGGAAAGCTTCCCTGTAAGCTGTACCTATGGAGTTGGATGGCTTTTCGTTATGGCAACAGCTCTTGCTCCCGTGGAAATCTTGCCTCCGAGTGCTCTGAACTTTCAAGGCCAACCCAATTCAAACTCAGATACCTCAAGTCTGTGTGGCCGGAATTCTCCAACGCATCCAACACCCGTAAGCCCTTGAACCCTCAAGACCGAAGCCTCTTCTTGCCGTGATTGTTTTTTTGAGGGGGGGGGGCGGGAAGAAGATGTGTCAAACGTCACTTCAATCAAAACACCATGCGTGCTCGTCAAGAAAGGCATCTTAAAACTAGATGTGCCGATGGCCACCAACTGACTGCAGTACCTCCTTGCAATCTAGACCATGCGAAGCATCGGGGCTCCTCCTAAGTTGTACCGTCCAGGACTCAGCATTAGCCCAAGCAGCTGCGCCAGCCGGAAGAGAAGGAAAGCGGGGAAGCACCAAACGGCGGCAAAGACGACTGCCTAGGCTTCTGCTGAAGCGCTACCGCTCTTCTGCGCAAGCAGGGGTTCTGACTTTTCCTAGTCTTCGCCCGGGTCCAGGCCCCCGCAACCCAGCGCCCTAGTTGTCGGGTCTCTGTGCCCATCCCGCAAGCTTTCCATGGGCTTTCGTTTCTGGGTTTTTGCTAGTCCCGGTCCCCCTTTGGGTTTCCTTCCCGGCCCCCTCCCCCCCCCCCCCCCCCCCCCCCGACCCCCCCACATTTCGGTGTTTTGCCCTATATACATGCCAGGTGGCGTGTTTTCAGTTTTCACTGCCGCAAGGGATTTCTAACCTTTTCCGGTCTTTTTCCTTTGCTTCCTCTTGATCAAGGTTACAGCACTTCAATCACTTTGTTGCGGAAAAGGTCCGATAATTACATCCTCCAAGCACTGTAGCTATACCTCAACACCGTCAACACCTCTCCCGCATTTTGCCGGCAATTCTCGAGCAGCACGCTCAATATCCAGCCACCCCCAGACGATGCGGTGAGGATGAGCTCAATAGACCTGGCAGCATAAACGAGTGCTTCTTTGTTCCTCTCGGGAAATCTCCAACTTCACGTCCTTTGCAGCTTCCCACCTCGCGGTCACTGGCCCAATGCCAATGCCCACACAAACAGAGACAACCTAGGATCTGCAAGTCAGCACAGCTTCCCAAGAAGGTTCGGCTCCAGGCCCCCACAAGTCTTCTGTAAACAGATTACAGCTCGGTCGTGCCAGGCAACTCCCAGAAACACAACGTAGCAAAGGAAGAGGAGGTACATGTAGATGCACCGTAGCTGGTCAATGTCCAACTGATCCTGCCACTCCTGGCCACTGTGCTTGCAGCTATTGGGCATTCGCCCTCCCGTGACCTGTTCGAAGTATAGTAAGTTTGAATCCAGCACGTAACCTGGCGTTTGAAGGCCTCCCGCTCCGGCAGCGCGCGTTTCAAATGGGGCGATTTACTCGGTAGAAGAAAGTTGATGAAACTTGGACGACCCGACAAAGAAGTTTCGATTTCTCGTCGGGGTGGTGTGACTGGACAGACTCGCTGGAATGCCTTGACTGACAACACCAAGTTCGGTGCTAAGGCTGAGTGCACGTGACCACTGGAGCCTGGGTGGGACAGGCTAATGATCCCCGGTGGCCCTACGGCTACGCGGCTACCCCAGTGTGTTAGTTTCATTTCGTGCTCCAGCCGGCTCAAGGGTGGTAGCGAGGGCCTGTCTTGTAGCGGTGTCAAAGGCTCAAGAGGACCTGCAGGTTTTTTCTTCAGTGCACAGTTCTGCTGAGCAGCACGTAACTGAGTTTAACTGCAGGTCTCACGATAACGACCGTTGAAATCCTGCCATATCTTCACATCGAATATCACTTGCACCATCGACGCTGCAAGATGCCTGCACAGCACAGTCTTGGACCCAACCCAAAGGCCAAAGGCCTCCTGATGGTAGCCATGTGCTGAGCCCACCAACAGAGTGCCACTGCTCCTTAGCTTTGTCATTTCTACACGTCTGCTTCTAGCAGGTTCTACAAAAGGATTTTCAAGAGGCACGCATCTGCCACAATTCAGTTCCGCTCCTTCTTCCGCACCCCCCTACCCCCGCCGTTCAGCAAGCGTTGGCATTTCTACGCCGTGCAGAAGTCCCGAGCAAAGACCAAATAAAAGGAGCAACACATCACAACTAAAAGGCAGGAAGTAAAAACATGCCCCTTCAAAAACTATGCCGAACCACCGGAGATTCCCTCCTACTCCCTGACATCTGGCACGCTCTAGACTTTTGCTTGTTGGCTTGCGCACTCGAAGATGTTGTTCTCAGGGAGTTGGTGGCTCTCCCCTGCAAATGGTCACATTTCTCTCTCCCACTTCCTTCCTTGACGATACCGAGTCTAGCCGCTAGCCGCTGCAATGGAAACCTCCTCGAGCAACAGTTTGACAAGAGTCTTCGCTGTTCCTTCTCCGCCTGCTCTCCTCTCTTTGTCCCGTAAAGCCTTAGGGTTCCAGTTTTGGTGCCCGAGGCTCACTGCATTCGATTTGTCCGCGAGCCGGAATGGCGCATCATACCTGGGCACAGCCCATGTGCTTAGCCGCATCCGGTAATGCTGCAGGACTTCCGGGACTACTTGTGGCCGTGGTTTTCTGAATGCACCAGGTTGCTGCTGGTAGTACAGGTAGTCGCCAACCAATGGAGCTCGGTGGACATTTTCCAGCTTCCTGAGTGTCAGCTTTGCCTGTTGTCATCGCAAGTGCTCGATTGGGGGCAACCGGTTCGTCCCCCGCTTGGGCAAGAATTCGAACACTGCAGCATGACACCGGCGCGCTCTGCTTATTGCATTTGAAAGACTCTTCTGGGCTTTTGTCCTCCTGCATGCGCTCAGTAGTGGGGTCTTTGGTGCCAAGCTTAAGATCTCACAATGCTCTTTGTTCAAAGCAGACGTGGCACTACCAGATCACAATTCAAACACACTTTCTGGCCATGTGCAGAACACGAAGCCGCAGCTTTTTCCCACCGACTTTGTAATGCAGAAACGCAGGGAAGAACACCCGAATGCATCATCAGGAATTCTGCCTAGCGGCCGCACTGCGGTGATGAAAAGCAGGCATGGGGTACCAATGGCCAGGATTGCCTCTAGCTCTGGTAGGCAATAGTAGCATGCGCATTCACCTCGGGGTCAACTCAGACAAGAGGTACCAGGCACTGCCTTTGACACTACCCTACCGGCTGACTAGCTGCGATTAGATTTCAATGCCACATGGCCCCACCATAAAGCACCATTTGCCATAAACTCTCACCAACTGACGAGGTGAATCTGCCGGCAGGCTTCGAGAAACCGCATGCCACTTCAAATCATCAGCAACGGTCAACAATGCCGAACCCCTCTTGCCGACAAGGGGTGCTGAGAGCTTAGGGTTGCCCTGAGTGTTTGCTCTGCCCTTGAGGGGTTGGGGTGCCAGTCAAAAAACACAATATGTCATCTCTACCGCCAGTTGAAGATTGAACCCAGTTAGTAACCTTGTTTTTCAAGGCAAACCTTTTGAGGTACGGCCGTGGGTGAGGATGTATACCTTCAACATCCTTTCGATCATCTCTTACCATCTGCAGTCGATACAAAGACCTGCGGGGCTTCAAAAATTGCCCAATGCAGAGCAGTTTCGACCTCTTTACCTGCATGGCTCTGAAAAACCCACCGAGACCTGTAGAGGCCAACTGCCCCGTAAACCCAGCCCATTCAGACGAAGGCGCCATTTCCCAATGGAGACAGGAACACCTCCACAGCTCCCATGCCTGGCGAATCTGGGGTGTCCTTCCTATCATCCTTTGTATGCTGGAAAAGCAGGCTGAAATTGATGCTATCGTAGGTGTGAAGCCTTCTCCTGAACCATTAGGGGCTTGATGGGTCCGAGATGTGATGGGTTCAGGCTTCGGTAGGTTTTCTCTTCCGAACCCGTGCGACTGCAAGACCTACAAAGCCTAAACCCCAATCTGCAAATGTCGACACGCCAGGGTTGACAGCTTGGGATTGGGAAATTGGCTTTGCATCTCAAATTCTGACCGGGGTGCTCCACAAGAAGGCCGCGCAAACGGCCAGAAGATGGAAAAGAATCGATGCCACGCCTTCCATCATCCGCAGGAATGGCTGTAGTAAACGAGGCGCTCAGATGGGGCTAATCTCTTAAACGAAAGCCCGAAGCTTCGCCTGCTGCAAGCCCACCTTTAGGATTTACGGAGAGAGGCGAGTTTCCAAGCGGAAACCAAAGCACACATTGGCCTGATGCAGCGGATTTGTGCTGCAAATCGGGGGTGCAGCTTAGGTTTCACTACTTCGAGCTTGTGCTCGATGCACCCAGCGTGGCGAAAGCGACCAGGACAAATGCAAGGTGAACGCAGCTGAACAGCCAGCGGCTTGCTCACGGGCAATTAAACAAATGTTGAACCCCTTTGAATCAGGGGGTGACAATTGAAAAAATGCAGGGTCCGAGCGGACTCTGCGAAAAGTTTGTTTCGATGGTTTGCCATGTCTGTTGCAAATGGCATTTGATCCCGGCTGAGGGGGATTAACCCTCATAAGTCATAAGGGGTGCGACTTCTCAGAACGAAACTCTTGCCTACAAAGTTGCCTGACTCTCTCTTCCTCCCTCACTCCCTCTCTCTTTCGTTTTATTCCTTCTCTGTTCTCTCCTCTTCTTCTACGGGGTTTGAGGGACTAAGGATCATGGACAGCTTGCCCCCCCCCCCCCTGCTATACCCCCCCCTCCCCCCCATCGAGCGGCTAGCGTGATCTTAGCAAGCACTCAGCAAGCCCTCGACACTCAGCAAGGCCTCAGCAGCTGCTTGAGCAATCGAGCATCTGCCGAGAGCCTACCGAACGCCTACCGAGCGCGTAGCGAGCGCTTAGCGAGTGCTTAGCGAGTGCTTAGCAAGTGCTTAGCAAGAAATGCACTAGAAGTCTCCCGATTCAGGAAAGCAAGCACCCCTGCTCACTAAGAGCTTTATGGGGGGGAGGGGGGGGTATAGGAGATGTGCCATGGACCTTTACGTATAATGTGGGAACCGCTTTTTTTCAAGCTTAAAACTTGTCTGTGCAAGTAGTTAAAGCACTAAACCGAAAATCAAACCAATTGTAAATTGCAAGTTCCTCCTCGCAAATTCCCTTGAACACAACACCAAACCAAATGCAAACATTAACTTCTGCAACGCGGACAAAACCTTTAGACAGACATTTTCAACCAAGAATACAAGTTTAAATCTCCGCCTTTACAAACACTTCAATCCAAAGTCCAAACCAAAGGAAACACAAGTGCTACGAATCAAACATTGAATCTTGCCTGTGTAGACACTCGTAAACAAGAATCTGAAATAAAAGGTGGGCACTAAAAACCTGCCCTTACAAAACACAGAGTATGTGACATAAATTTTTATATGAGTGTATATATATATATATATGACGTATGGTTGTTGAAATCTTCAAGACATTTTTCGCTCAAAGCACTTGTTGTACAAGATGTATTCAACAGGTAGTAGTCGTTGTCATATGACATACGGAAATGAAGTTTCGACTCTCACACTGGCACAAGGTGGGCGAGGCTGCTGGTCAATCTGGTGTAACCATATAACAAAAACAAAAACACAGGTGTTCTTTCATTTCCTATGAGAAGATAGAGGAGCTATTTCATCTTCTACTCAGAGATAGAGTAACTGGTTCGCAAACGAATAAGAGCGTCTTAATCTCCCGACACTGGGTAGGGGTCTACGATCTCCTATCTTCTATCTCAGTCTCGCAATAGGTCATGAGAGGCCTCCGCTAGCTTTGCGCAGGAAAAGAAAGAGAGCTCTCTACTATGTCAATTTTTCAAAAATAGCTTCTCTGTCAATGAAGAGGTCATAAGAGAAGCCCTTTATCTCTTCCTAAGAAATGACAGAGCCCTTCGAACTTTTTACGAGAGATCTCTCCTTTACCCTAAATAAAACAACCAAAGTTCTGAAGGCCTTTCTTTACTCCTCAAGTGGGGACATTACACAACTCATCAGTTTCTATCGTTTATGTGTGAGAGAGTCTATTCTATCTTTAAATGGGTCATCTGAAAGCTCCTCTGTCTCTTTGAAGGGAATGAGTCTCTTCTGCAAGGGCTCCTCCAAGGTATCCCCGCTCTCCTTCTTTAGGGAATGACAGAGCCCCTTAGCCTTATTTACCCTTATTCCTCATGGCAGGCTGCATTGCTGGGGCCAAGGCGCGCAAGAAACTTCAAACCAGCAGAGCACGTCAGCATTTCCAGCCGACATGGTCTTGCAGCCGCTGCAGCTTCGTAGGGTGTGGTCTACGAGACATCTTGAACATGCACACACATCGTCTCTCTTCTGCCGGTCTGGGACACAGAAGACAAGTTCCAACACCTGATCCCAAGCATCATGTTCCTCACAAGTAGTGGGAGGCCCTTCACCCCGGATTTTTGGGGGCTGGGAGTAGTTTTAACAGGCAACGCGAGGTGGGGTTGGACTGCGTAATCTTTCAAAAGTCTTTCTCCCACTTGAAGAAGTGTTTCCAAAAAAGAGATATCGGGAAGGATCTCTCATTTCCTCGAGGGAGGGATCTTTTATTGAAAAGAAAATACATGAGGTTTTTCATGTTCCATTAGGAGACAGAGAGGTCTCTCATTCTGCATTAAAAGATCGAGGACATCGTTCATTTCCGTTTTTTATTTGTTATGAGAAGGTAGGGGGGCGGGGGGGGGGGAATGGGCTCTCTCATTTCCGACTGCGAGACAGAGGGGCATAGAGGGGATCTCTGATGTCTTCGAAAGAGAGATCCTCCACTCAGGAGGGACGCAAGTTATTCCATTTCCAAAAGAATAGAGGAGCTCTTAACGCCCCATTTCTCATTATAAATAAACAGATGGGATGACATCGATTCGTTTCCATTCTGTTGTTCTTGTTTATCAAAGGTCTCTTCGTTTCCTACACAGGACTTCTTTTGATTCCTATGAGAAGATAGAAGGCTCTTCTTTCGTCTCCTACTCAGAGATAGAAGATTGCATTGGCAATACAAAAGAAATCATAAGAGCTCTCTCATGTCCTCTCTTTTGTGTCTCGTCAATAGGTAGCTACCGTTTCCTATTTTTTTTACCTGAAAGAGCTTCTGTCTCTCGCAATAGGTCATGAGAGGACTCCTCTATCATTTTGCAGGAAATGAAAGAGAGTTCTCTACAATTTCTGTGTTTCAAAAATGTTTCTCAAGCAATAAGAGAAGCCGTTTGTCGCTTCATAGGCAACGACGGAGCCCTACTACCTTTTTTCTTGAGATCTCTCCTTTACCCTCAATAAAAGTTTTGAAGGCCTTTCTCTATCCCTTAAATTGGACCCTAAGAATCCGGGCTACACTAAGAATCCAAAGCTACCCTAAGAATCCAGGCTACCACCATAACAAAAAAAACGCAACCCTAAGATTGGGCTACCCCAAGAATCCAGGCCTAAGAATACAGGCCACCCCTAAGAATCCAAGCTATCCTAAAAATCCAGACCACCACCAAACAAGAACTCAGCCCTAAGAATACAGGCTACCCTAAAAACCTTCCCTTAGAATCGAGTCTACCCTAAGAGTCCAGGATACTAAAATAGAAAGTGAATGAACAAAGTGAAATGAACGCCCCCATTATCTTCTTTCTTTCGCTAAATCACAGATCACACGTTCATTTCATTCACTGTATCTGTTGAGATTGTTGAAAGAAGACAATAGTGTTTAAGGGGCGCGCAAAAAGAGAATACAAAGAACGCCCAGTTCATTCGTTCACATGTTCACTTCATTCTCGTATTAATATTGTAACCTCTGGAATGAATTCTGGGTGGTGAACAGAATACCATAAGTTAATCATGCAAAAAAATAGAATTTATAAAACATAAAATAATTTCATTCTGGTGCCCCCCAAAAGAATTTAATTATTCAAATCAGGGATTTGAATAATTAAAGTATGTAAGCTTATGAAAGTTACAAAGCATCCCTCTACACTTGAGCAAACCAGGCTTTACAAATTTTATAAATTTCGCCTTAAGGGTAAAATTTATAAAAACTATAAAACTTATAAAATTTTGGGTTCAGGCGTCCCGGGAAACCTTTAAAATTGATAAAACTAATAAAAATTTATAAAATTTATAAAATTTATAAAGCTTCCTTCTAAACTTGAACAAACCAGGCTTTATAAATTTTATAAGTTTTATAAATTTTATAAATTTCACCTTAAGGGTAAAATTTATACAATTTATAAAATTTATAAAGCTTCCTTCTAAACTTGAGCAAACCAGGCTTTATAAATTTTATAAATTTTATAAATTTCACCTTAAAGGGTAAAATTTATAAAATTTATAAAGTTTTGGGTTCAGGCGTCCCGGGAAACCTTTAAAATTTATAAAATTTATAAAATTTATAAAATTTATAAAATTTATAAAATTGATAAAATTTATAAAATTTATAAAATTTATGAAATTTCCTTCCAAACTTGAGCAAACCAGGCTTTATAAATTTTATTAATTTTATAAATTTCACCTTAAGGGAAAAATTTATAAAATTTATAAAATTTATAAAGTTTTGGGTTCAGGCGTCCCGGGAAACCTTTAAAATTTATAAAATTTATAAAATTTATAAAATTTATAAAATTTATAAAGCTTCCTTCTAAACTTGAGCAAACCAGGCTTTATAAATTTTATAAATTTTATAAATTTCACCTTAAAGGGTAAAATTTATAAAATTTATAAAATTTATAAAGTTTTGGGTTCAGGCGTCCCGGGAAACCTTTAAAATTTATAAAACAAAATTTATAAAATTTATAAAATTTATAAAGCTTCCTTCTAAACTTGAACAAACCAGGCTTTATAAATTTTATAAGTTTTATAAATTTTATAAATTTCACCTTAAGGGTAAAATTTATAAAATTTATAAAATTTATAAAGCTTCCTTCTAAACTTGAGCAAACCAGGCTTTATAAATTTTATAAATTTTATAAATTTCACCTTAAAGGGTAAAATTTATAAAATTTATAAAGTTTTGGGTTCAGGCGTCCCGGGAAACCTTTAAAATTTATAAAATTTATAAAATTTATAAAATTTATAAAATTTATAAAATTTATAAAATTTATGAAATTTCCTTCCAAACTTGAGCAAACCAGGCTTTATAAATTTTATTAATTTTATAAATTTCACCTTAAGGGAAAAATTTATAAAATTTATAAAATTTATAAAGTTTTGGGTTCAGGCGTCCCGGGAAACCTTTAAAATTTATAAAATTTATAAAATTTATAAATTTATAAAGCTTCCTTCTAAACTTGAGCAAACCAGGCTTTATATTTTAAATTTTATAAATTTCACCTTAAAGGGTAAAATTTATAAAATTTATAAAATTTATAAAGTTTTGGGTTCAGGCGTCCCGGGAAACCTTTAAAATTTATAAAATTTATAAAATTTATAAAATTTATAAAATTTATAAAGCTTCCTTCTAAACTTAAGCAAACCAGGCTTTATAAATTTTATAAATTTTAAAAATTTCACCTTAAGGGTAAAATTTATAAAATTTATAAAATTTATAAAATTGATAAAGTTTTGGGTTCAGGCGTCCCGGAAAACCTTTAAAATTTATAAAATTTATAAAATTTATAAAGCTTCCTTCTAAACTTGAGCAAACCAGGCTTTATAAATTTTATAAATTTTATAAATTTCACCTTAAAGGGTAAAATTTATAAAATTTATAAAATTTATAAAGTTTTGGGTTCAGGCGTCCCGGGAAACCTTTAAAATTTATAAAATTTATAAAACTTATAAAATTTATAAAATTTAGAAAGCTTCCTTCTAAACTTAAGCAAACCAGGCTTTATAAATTTTATAAATTTTATAAATTTCACCTTAAAGGGTAAAATTTATAAAATTTATAAAATTTATAAAGTTTTGGGTTCAGGCGTCCCGGGAAACCTTTAAAATTTATAAAACTTACAAAATTTATAAAATTTATAAAATTTATAAAGCTTCCTTCTAAACTTGAGCAAACCAGGCTTTATAAATTTTATAAATTTTAAAAATTTCACCTTAAAGGGTAAAATTTATTAAATTTATAAAATTTATAAAGTTTTGGGTTCAGGCGTCCCGGGAAACCTTTAAAATTTATAAAATTTATAAAATTTATAAAATTTATAAAGCTTCCTTCTAAACTTGAGCAAATCAGGCTTTATAAATTTATATAAATTTCACCTTAAAGGGTAAAATTTATAAAATTTATAAAATTTATAAAGTTTTGGGTTCAGGCGTCCCGGGAAACCTTTAAAATTTATAAAATTTATAAAATCTATAAAATTTATAAAATTTATAAAGCTTCCTTCTAAACTTAAGCAAACCAGGCTTTATAAATTTTATAACTTTTATAAATTTTACCCTTAAGGTGAAATTTATAAAATTTATAAAAATTTATAAAGCCTGGTTTGCTCAAGTTTAGAAGGAAGCTTTATAAATTTTATAAATTTTATAAATTTTACAAATTTTATAAATTTTAAAGGTTTCCCGGGACGCCTGAACCCAAAACTTTATAAATTTTATAAATTTTTATAAATTTTACCCTTTAAGGTGAAATTTATAAAATTTATAAAGCCTGGTTTGCTCAAGTTTAGAAGGAAGCTAAATTTTATAAATTTTATAAATTTTATAAATTTTATAAATTTTAAAGGTTTCCCGGGACGCCTGAACCCAAAACTTTATAAATTTTATTTTTATAAATTTCCCTTAAGGTGAAATTTATAAAATTTATAAAATTTATAAAGCCTCGTTTGCATGTTTAGAAGGAAGCTTTATAAATTTTATAAATTTTATAAATTTTATAGATTTTGCCTTAAGAGTAAAATTTATAAAACTTAAAAAGTTTATTTCTTAAACATTTTAATTATAGATACCTATAAGTATATATATATAGAGACATACAGAAGGGGATTTCCCACACTATACATAGAGGTCCTACGTACATAGGAGGGGGGGGGGGGTAAGCTGTCCATGAAAGGAAGATAACCCTAGCCCAGGAAACTGCTTGCACTACATCCTGGGAGAGCGTCCCCCCCAAATGGAAAACAGCAACAGACAGTATACCATCACGCATACTCTCACACTCTCTCTCTCTCTCTCTCTCTCTTCCTTCCTTCCCCAGCACTTGGCCCCCCCCAAAGGGGAAGCCGCCCTAATGGGCGTGCTCAACTGAGTCAGTCGGTAGGAAACGTGTTCTCTCTCTCTCTCTCTTTCGCTTTGTTTCTCCAAGACGCCTCTTGTTTGTTTTCTCCCCCCCAACCGCAAAACACCCAATCGTGCAATGCTCCCGCTGCTACTGCAATCTCCCGTCAAAGGCAAATATGTGGAATGTGACTCCTTGCCAGGGTGTGGAACCTGCGGTTGGTTCCACACGCACCGTAATAAAGTCCAAGTGATGTGGCTTAGAATTACAAGTATGACCCCCTGGCAATCCCTGAAACCAAGACAAAAGCTTCCAGCAAGCAAGCCGCCTATTCGTAGCGTGGTGTACTCGTGCGCCCCGGCGAGTAGCAACCAGTCATGAAGGATCCTGGAATGTCGTGGGAGATGTTGCAAAAAACGATGCGATGCCTTTCTTGGCTAGTCTTGGCTACGGTGCTTGACCCGTCTAGTGAAGCAGCTTGCGCACTGCGACAAAGATGGCTTTGGTGCCCCAGGGACTGTTCCAGAGTCGAGGTGATCCATCTCCCGAGTTTCAAGAAGGGTCCGGTCCCGTCCGAGCCAAGGATCTTCGACAACCACCAACCAGCAATGCACCATACATAAGCATGCCGCGAACGTGAGCTGTGCAGCGGGTTGATGATGCCTTGCGGATCCCAGGCCAAAAGCATGAGAGATTCAGGTCTCGCCAATCTACAACCGAAGGATTGCAAACAAGTGCTGAAGATCTTAGAAGCAGGGACTTTGGCTTCAGAAGCAGCATGAGTTTTAAGTTTTGATCATGTCTTGGGTTATCAGCCTTGGTATATTATGTCATCGTCCTCGCATGACATGTACGAGTCCAACGGCACTCTGAGCTGCTGTCGCTGAGTCAGATACGGCACCACATAAAGCAGCTGACACTTGAGCGCTCTCTTAAACTTTTGCATAGATGTGCTCTGTACGCACTGGCTGACCCTTGAACAGCAGCCGAGCCACTATTGCGGGCCGACTTCCCATTGCAAGCATCTTGCATCTGCTGCAGAGAGAAAGACCTCCGCCCATGCGCTGTGTGGTTGAAATTGGTTTCAATGCCCGCAAACGGAGGCCCCAAAGCGCACAGCACAACAGGTCTCTAGTTCCCACCTGTTCCCACTGCTCAGGTGAAACAGGAGCCGTTGTGCTTGCAGATCCAAAGCTCTCATTGAACCCAACTCACTCTACCAGACAGTCATGCTCTCGCAATGCGGGGAAGAATTGTGTTCCCTCACAGTGCAGTCATGAGTCAGAGTGGTGGGTGGCCAGCTCATGAACTAGACTTGCGCATTCCAAGAAAACTGCAAAACAAAAATCCGGATACAAGAGTCCACGCCATTTGCTGAGACCCCACAGGATAGAAACCTTGTAAAGTCCCCCCATGAACACCAGCTGCCTGAAAACTAAATCTCTCCGGCCAAGGGGCGGGCAAAGCGGCTTTAGAAAGTTTCCGCTCAACTTGCTGTGGATGGTATCTCCGTTGAGAACCTGTGAGCAAGCTCTCCTGTTTTTGCAAAAAGCCACTCTTGCAAGTACTTCAAAGCCACACAGGAGTCTATGAATCACGAAAGCATCCAGAAACCAACGTCGCGAATGCGTGCGCCATGCTTGCGATCAATTAAGGTTCTGACCACTTCAAACACCTCAGCTGAATGGCGACGTGAAGATACACAAAGCACATGAAGAGCTGGCCTTTACCGGGCAGCTGGCTTCCTTCTGAAGAACGGGCCCCCAGGACATCTGAACATTGCATGCCACGGAAAGCAACGGCAAACTTCCGTGGTCTGGCTTTCACGAGTGGATCTAGCTCCTGGAGGGGTCAAGATGGGGCAAAACTAAGCCGACAATGCCAGACTCAAGGCCATCCAGGACAACAATCACAGAAATCCCCTCCGAACCACCTATTGAGAGCTCCGACCTGTTGCTCAGTAAATTTGTCGAGTTCCGTCGCTTTCCCTACCCTGCTCTCCGAAACTGTTTGAGCTCCCAAGCCCCCAAGGAACCACATTCAATTTCGCGCCCATCTCATGCCCGGCAAGGCACATCATAGCCCTGGTCAAAGGTCGTTGGAACCATGCCGCTTCCGAAGATTTTGATGAAGGTGCAGGCCCTTTCTTCGCTTCGCTTTTGGGTCGTTGCGGCTCGGTTCAATAGCCTATAAGTGGGGCATGGGGTGGCTGCCTGCGGTCAGATTGAGAGGTCCAAGGCTACCACCCCTCAACAAGCCCCAGCCTTGCTTCTAGGCGGAGGGGAACCCGCTCCTGGAACAGTCCCCAACAGCACTCTTGGACTTGATGGCCTCCGAGAACAGGGCTGGAACTCGCTAAGCTGGATCCGCGAAAGCTTGGACACCAGGAGGGCGTAAGGGTATGTCCTTGCAGAGTCTGGAAGTGAGTGCTCGGGCATGCAGTGCACGCCTAAGCTGCATATGAGAGGCCTGATGCTTAGCTTCTTGATTTACACCAAAGAGCTGAGAGCCTCAACTAGCGTAGCTCAGGTGGCAACCAAGGCTCGTGGCAGTAGTGACGGCCAACGCTTTCCAGTAGGCCTGGGATCGTGGTGGGTATGGGGGTTACCGAAAATAGGGGACCCCTAAAAATAGACCCCCGAATAGTAGGATTCCCTTACAACTTGAGAGCAGGGCGAACGAAAGCTGACCTAAGGGGGGGGGGGGTCCTAAGGGGGGGGGGGGGGGACCCCCCCCCTTATCGGGAACATGGGGGCCCCGCCCCCCCCCCCCCTTAGGTCCACCAGCCTCCAAGGATTTCTTGTGTGGTTACCCCCAGAAAGGGGGGGGGGGGGCCCCCCCCCCCCCATGGCAGCTTAAACCTCCGATATATCGGAGATTAAGGCCCCGGAGTGCTGTTTGACCCAAGAGCAAACTGGTAAACAAGAACTCCCGCAAGCTCCAAAGGAGCTAGCTTTCGTGATAAGGACCCCAAGAAGGAACCCCCCCCTAATTTCGGAAACCCCCAAGTGGCTTCTAAGCCAGGCTGCAGTCCGGGTCATGCGCCGAGGAGTGGGTCAGTCATCGCCATGCTCACTGCTTGCCTCGTCCCCTTCAGGGGGACAGCAGTCCCGCATTCACTTTGGTCAGAATCTGAATGCTTCAACTGCGCTAAGTGGGTCTGTGGATTGGATGCGAGGACTTCCAGGCATCACTCCTCCTTCCGGAGCCTCCCCCGAGGCCTCTCGGGCCAGCGGCGCTGCCAGCGTGAAGCACATGGCTACAAGCTCTACCCAAGCAGTGTATGTGCTTGTGGACTAGGGTTTTTTTTTGGGGGAGGGGGGGGGGGTACAGGATGGGTCGAGGACCTTTTGGGTTCAGTTTTTGTTGGGCGGCAGGGCTTTCAGCTGAAACCTCGAGAACATGATCCGTCCTTTCACTCTCTTGTGGCATGTGCACGTGCTATGCGCAGCCATTCGCTTGGTAATGGCTCATTGGTAGCCTTGGTCCTGGGCTCGAGCCAGGAAGCTGCGAAAGCTGTGAAGCCTTTTGAAACTCAGACAAGCAGGCCTTGACCCTGCTCCTTGCCGTAGTCATTACATCTAAACATAATGTATATAATGGATATATACATAATATAATCAACCCAACCCACCTAGCCGACCCCTCGCGACAGCCTCGAAGGCAGCACTGGGTACGATGTTTAGAAGATCTCCATGACTTGGTTAGGTCGTCAAACGTCGTCAATGTCCAGCGGCTTGTTAGGTCTTCGAGACTCGCTTGTTGAGGGTTTTGTGCTGCTCGGGCTTTCCGGTGGGTGAGCCTCATGGCGGTTCGCGTTGTGTCTGACTACTGGCGATGGGGATTTGTTGGTGCTGTGGCGGAGTGGCGCTTTTGCAGAGCTTTGCAAGCTGCTTAGAAATACATTTCCGGAGAAATCTTACTCTATGGCGCGTCTGGGACCTCGATTTGTAGGGCCATGTCGATGTTTGGACCTGCACGTTACCTTTGCTCCGTTTCCCCCCCTGCCTCGACCTCCACCCATACGGGCCGCTGCACGTTGCCGCGGATCCTCCAGCGTGAGCACGTGTCAATAATTGTGGAAAGCACACTGTTGCACCGGGTCTGTGCTGTCGAGGGGTGGAATTATGCCGTCACGAACAACTCGAAGAATGGTTTTCCAAGCGCTGGCCTTGTTATGACCTTGACGCCAGCAAACGTCTTAAAATGCCAAGCCACAGTTCTAGGAAGAGAACGAATCAAGTTACTAAATCACATTACAGCCGACATGGTCTTGTATACCACAGTCCCTCTGGAGTAGTGCAGCATTTCCTGTCAATGGGTAGCCCATGGAAACTTAGCCAGAAACCTTCGGCACTACAACAATGGCCAGTTGCATTCCCTATATCACAACCTGGACGTATGTAGCAACCATAAGAGACCATCAGGCTCGTTGTTCAGAGCTCATGGCATCGCTCAGGACTGCTGCCCTACCGAGGCGCAGGCCGTGGAAAGGACAAGCAACCCTCTGCCTGCCAAGTCGCAAAGCTGGCAAGACATGTTTGTATGGGGATGGTGATGGGCCAAAACAGGACACATAATTGCAACGCCAGCCCGTGTGCGCCTGGAAGGTAGTAGTATAGGTTTTCTTTACTTTTTTCGAATGGACATTGACCAGGGCTGTGCTTGAGCGGACGCCTGTCCCCTGTGCGATAAGACGCTGAAGCACCTGCCAATCCTTATCGTCGCTGAAGGAGATGATGCGCGGGTTCACGAAAACCTGAGGCATGAAGCTGATCGGCAACCAACTGCTCTTGACAACCTGGAGATCTGAACGATGCGAAAGAGTCTCACATGTTTCTGGGCGCACAGCCGTTTCATCATCCCGTGTTCGGGGATCGGAATTGTAGACCATCACGCGGAGATTGACGCCAACCTCGTTGAAGGGCTAGCAGGTTGGGTTCAGGCGATCAACATGACACATTCCCGTTGTCGTGTGGTGCATCTATCTATATATGGTTGTGCGCTGCGCGTTCTCACCCCCCCCCCCCCCCCCCCCCCCCCCCCCCCCCCCCCCCCCCCCCATCTATCTATATATGGTTGTGCGCTGCGCGTTCTCACCCCCCCCCCCCCCCCCCCTGCCACCCCCGTCCCAGCCCCCCCTGAACCCTGCTTGCTTGCACAAGGGACCAGCCCTAAACCCTTGAAGCCCTAAACCGTAAAAACCTCAGCCCTCAACCCTAACACCCTAAGCCCTGAAACCAAAACCCTAACCCCAAAACTAAAAACTGTAAACCCGATATAACCCTAAGGCCTAAACCCCAAAAACCCCTCTAAAACATCGGAGTGACAGGGGCCCCCTGGGGCGCAATCATACACGTGAGTGATTTGTGGCTTGTGCTCCTACTCTTGCGAGGCACGCGCGCACAAGCTAGGGAGGAAGGAGAAGAAAAGAGAGAGAGAGAGAGAGAGACCTGTTTAAGCTTCTGCGCCACCTACTTGACACAGGCCTTTGACCTACAGACACAAAGAGACAGAGAGAGAGAGAGAGAGAAAACAAAAAAGAGGACAGTTTTTTGTGGTACCTAACGAAGCATCACAACATTTACAATCTCAGCAAACAGTGGCATCTCCATGCCCGGACCAGGGTGGTGACGAGGTCTGTAAATCTTATAGAAGCTGTTTTGGGATTCAATTTCAAGTCTGTCAGGGATGCATAAACCCTACAAAGTCTATAAACCCTAATCGCTGCTTGCCGGCCCCTGCCTGCGGTGCGGCCAAGCCGATTCCATCGCCTGCACCAGAGCCAGGGCCAGAGCCAACATGAAGCCTGCTGTAGGAATGTGATCCTGGTCTCGTGGCTGTGTCCGCAGATAAAACATGATAACAAATAAAAACGTTTCAGTGCAAACCTCCGAAATGTTTCCGATAATTGTCCGTTTTGGACCCCAGAATTCGAACGGCAGGGCTCCAGGCCTGTAGCATAGAGAGTATCGAAGAGGTTGTCAGCTAAGGTCCTGAGCCGCCTGTCCTGAGACTCTCTGTAGACTTGGCTCTGGAAGTGGCGTCAGGAGGGACCGAATTATGGCCGACTGCATTGGGTTCAGCCTAATGCAGCCTTAGCCACTAGCCACAAGATCTGAAACCTAAAGCTACAGGAAGCCTTCAAGGCGGCAGCCCGAAGCTCTGAAACCTTAAAGGTTCCCCGCATTAGGGCAGACGCTTCATGTTGACAAGTGCTGCGATTGCCGCAGCACACTCAGGCAGCCGCAAACACCTTGATCTCCTCGTTCTTCTCCCGAAGGGAAGGATGGGGATATCTCACCTGGAATGGCAGAATCTTGAAACTAAATCACATCAGCATAAACAAAACTCATACATGCATGCATGCAAACATACATTATGTGCATATATATATATATATAGACACTCGTAAAGCTGCTGCTCCAAGACTACGCAGTCACGAGTCATGGCACGGCTGGCCGACATCACCCGCACGAATTGCTCACATCACTGAAACTCGAGTCCTGACTTGCCCGTGTGGGGGAAAATAACGACTTGGCAATACTTGGCATGAGGGGGCTTCCGAAAATAGGGGTATGGGGTACTCTTTTGGGGGTCCCTTTAAGCTCTAAGGGGATTCTATTCTACTTGGGGTGAAAAAGGGGTACCCTATTTTGGGAAATACCCATGAGGCTCCAGCGATGTCCAGCTGCATGCGACGCTTGTCGAAGCCTGTCGTCGCACATCGCGACAGCAATCCGTGAAGTGCAGCTTCCATGAGTCCGTGCGGCCCGAAGCTGACCAGAAAAAGCAGCGCAGCGCTATGTACTTGACTGCCCGCACGGCACATGTTTGAGCATACCCTCGTGCAACGTTGATGCTGACGCTGTGCCACAGTGATCCGCCTTCCGGGGCATAAGGGCCACCTCTGCCGGGCCTAGCAGCAAGCCTATGGTACAAAACTTCCTGGTTGACACATGCTGGGGGGGAGGGGGCGTGGGTGGGCGGGGGAGGGGGAGGAAAGTCGAGACCACATGTTGGAGCCCTTACTTACAGCACGCAGGAACCATCACAAGGCACTCAGAGTTCATTGTACTTCACGGCTACTTGCTGCTTGAAGGGCAGTGTAAACAATGCTGGATGGCGTGCTTCCCCACGAAAGCATGCTTGTCATTGTGATAGTCACGGACAAGCGAAGCAGCAGTGTTCAACAAGGCCCTGGCTCATCTTCCCCATAGTCGGTCTCCTGAATAAAACTGAACAAAACAGAAGCGATCCTGGGGCCATATCAAGAAGACGCGCAATCAAAGCGCAGTCTCGAAAGATTACAGATCAGAAAAATCTCACCACAATGTATCGAGCAATTATGACTCAGTTCCGCGCATCGACGTACTCTTCTCCCTTGTCTTCGCCAAACCTGCACGGGGCACATGCAGTTGAGACGCAAAGACAGCAGGAAGAGACCTTTTAAGCTTAGCTGTGTCCGGGCACCCAGCAACTCGCCGATGAAGTTGCGCTGAAGAGGCCCGCCTCGTCTGGCCTCCACTCTCAAGATTCCTACTTCAGCCGCACCAGTTCTGGGCAACGTAAAGTATCATGAGCAAGACATAACAAAACGAAGCCATAGCGTCGTGCTTTGCGGAAGAGCACTAGTACAACCCTCTTCGGGAACTTGTCATGCCGTTAGCAGGGACGACCTAAGCTTCCACCACGTTCCCAGCAGGTTTCCTGCATGCGCAAGACCAGAAGCTGCTCCCCGTCAGTGATCGGCAGCTAGGAAGCTACGGCCCCAAATCCAGCAAGCTTCTGTGCAGCATCGCAGCATGCGCACCCAATCCCCTCAGCTACGAGACATCTCTCGAACGAACCAGGACCATCATATGAATCAATATGAATCACCAGTGTCTTCTCAACATGTCAATGCCAACGTTAAAGCAATATCCTACAGTATTGGGGAAGTTGTACAGAGTGGCACAAACCATGGTTTGATCAGAAGCTTGCAAGAACATGTTCAGGCCTTTGGCAACTGGGAGCGTCCAAAAGAAGTCCAGGCCTTAGAATTACACGCGGTGCAGGGGACACGACTCGGACTTGGCTCTTGACACCTTCGAGGCCTTGCAGGAGATTTGCGTAACCTGGGCATGTTCAGGCCAACATCTCGTGGAGAAACTGCTCGGAAGGCTACTTAGGCGGCGATAGACTGATCTGCAAGGCTGCCGCAAAAGGCCGAAGGCAAAGAGAACAGGCACCAAACAGCAAGCCCCAGCAAGGAAGATGCCCCAGCACCAGTTGCCCGACCCCGGGCTCTCGGCCATGCCGAGAGAGAGCGTTGAAAGGACCTAAGGCTCTCGCAGGTACCGTCTGACTGCTCAAATTTGCACTGAGCAGCTTGGGGGGCTCAGTGCATATTTTTTTTGAGCTGAAAGGCTGACTTCATCAACAACTCCTCAAACAAGCGCTTCTTTTTTCTCACGCTAAGGCCTTTGCCTTGGAGCTGTACATGGCTAGTAAAGGCCAGGCAACACTTATGTCTCACAAGGTGCGAGTGAGTAGCATGTTGCCCGCCCCCCGCCCAATAAGACTCAGGTCAACTCACTTGGACTGCTCCTGCAAGTGCTCGTAAACGAGACCCCAGAATGAGTCCAAAGAATCCAAAGAGTCCAAAGAAGCCACATCGCCCTCGCACTGGCGAGCGCAATGCAGCAACGTCTCGGCCTCAGGGAGGGCCATGAACGCCTCCTTCTTAGGACTTGGCAGCTCATTGAAGTGCAAGGCATCTGCAAGGTACTCTGTCAAGTCCACGACCTTGGAGGAAAAGCCCATCTTCACCAAGGGTGAACCTGGTTTTCTGAGTTCTCTGAAGTCCGGAACCTGGCCGCGAGCCTCCGCAGCCCTGGCCCAAATCTCGCTGGGAAAAGGGGTGTGTGTGGCATGCAGCAAGCAAGCCAAGACCACCTCTGACGGTGCTTCCAACATACGGGCCGCGGTTGCCAGTTTCAGTGCTTCGGCTAGCGGATTCTGCTTCGCTCTCTTGGGCAGGGATTTCAACACCTCCATGCAAACATCTGTTGCAAGGTGGTGGACGTCAAAAGAACTCAAATCAACACCTTCGGCCAAAGCGGACATGACCGTGGAGTGGATCTCATCCTGATCTCATGTCCACCAAGCAAGTCGAAGATTTGGCTTTTGTCGAGACCAGACCGTTAACAGCAACAACCAATCACAGTAAAGAACCGAAACAAAAAAAGAACAAGGCATGGGCCTTAAGGAGGCGTCCTGATCCAGATAAGCGCCCTGGATGTGGCGCGGGCCGCCAGGCCGGTAGCCCTCTCGGCCATGCATGACACGGCCATTCAGCCAAATGGCCAGGTCGCCTGGCCTCATGCAAAATGGAACGAAATCGCAAATTCCCTCTTCACTGAGCCCACTTGGAGCATGTTTGCTGGCTGCTTGCTTGCTTCGAGGTTCTGCGTTTTTTCGCGGCTTCATGCTCTGGCTATTTGCGCTGTGGGTCCCCAGTTCGATGCATGCTGGCCAAGTCGTGATACGCTCTGTAGCAGCAAGATCCTCTGCTGCATTCTTTTGTTGGGGCGATGGTGGGGAGGTCAGCGAGTTCTTTAGAGGCCCGGCCCCGGGCGTTGTGAGAAAATTCCAGCCAGCATGCTTCAAACCCAAGTGTTTGAGTTGAAACGAGGGAGGAGGAGGGTTAGTGTTAATAGGGTTGCCTTTCGCCAGCCACAAATGCATCGGAATAATCTAATCGGCAAGACGATTGATAATGGAAAGGTCAGCTTCAACATTACAACATGACAACTCAAGTTTCCAAAGAACCTGTTGCATGTGCACATCTGGGCATGCCTCATCAAAAGCTTCACGGTGAAGTCATCCAAGTTGGCAAGGGCATCAAAAGCTGCCCACGCCCGGTAGTACTCCTGGGGTATACCATCACGTGTCTTGGCACTGTAGGGCCCCGGGTCTGTTCGAGAATCGATGGTAGGGTCGAGGTGTCGGGATCCTCATTTGGCGATATCTGCATCTGTGCACTCACATGCGCCCGCCATGGACTAAGTTAGCAGAACCTTTGCCCGTTTTGGGTGATAATACCAGCAGCCTACCATTAACCCACCCATTAGAAGATTGTTCCCATGCCCCCCCCCCCCCCCCCTATATCTCACCAACACAATCACCACTACTTCCCCATTACCAATACGAGTATATAGGAATAACCGATTACAGTACCTCATCCATATGAGAGGATGATTCCTACTACAATTCCCCCAAATATCACTACTGCTTCCCCATTACCAAGACTAGCCAAGACCAGTATAGGAATACCCAACTACGTACAGCAACCTTCCAGAGCCATGTGCGAAACCTCCCTAGCCACCACTTCTGAAGTCACAACACGCCTTCCCCTCCCTCTCCCTCCCTCCCTCCCTCCCTCCCTCTCTCCCTCTCTCCCTCTCTCCCTCTCTCCCTCTCTCCCTCTCTCCCTCTCTCCCTCTCTCCCTCTCTCCCTCTCTCCGTGTCTCTCTAACCCCCCTCTATTGAGGAGGGCCGCCCGAAGGCGTGCGTTACATGATACAGCGGACTAACCGATGTTGTAGGGTTTCCGGGAGTGTTAGTACACTATTTAGTATAGCTGATATTCTCTGTCTCTCTCTGTCTCTCTGTCTCTCTGCTCTCTCTCTCTCTCTCTCTCTCTCTCTCTCTCTCTCTCTCTCTCTCTCTCTCTCTCTCTCTCTCTCTCTCTCTCTCTCTCTCTCTCTCTCTCTCTTTTGCTTGCTTGCTTGCTTGCTTGCTTGCAGAGCCTGTGACTCCCGGGGGAGCCGTCCCACAGGGGCACGCTTTACTGAGTTCGCAGTCTTTGTGAACCAGGTGCGTTGCGGTGGGAGTGATACGACCCATACATGACTATGCCCCCCAGGAAAGGAAGACTGGGAGAAAAGTTATGCTCCCCCACCTTGTACTTGGACTGCACCATGTGACTTGTGGATTCCCAACCTTTGGGCTTCCGGAAAGGTCTAATCTCCATGAAAAGGACTGAGCTGAAGGCCATTACCATCCATCCGCCCTCTGTATGGTCTGGTTCTCCCTTCGCCCCTCCACAACATATGGACCTCCTTGTGATTGTGATGCCACTCGGACTCTGAGCTTACCCCTAATCCATGACCTTCAAGCCCTAGAGGATGGATCTATGCAGGTCACTGTGTGTGGGCTGTTCAGGGCGGCTGTGAAACTAAGTTTGACTGACACTGGCCACGCGTTCTCCCCTAGGCTTGCTCCTACTTCTTCTCCCCCCCCTTGGGCCCTTTGGACGAACTTACAACTTCAGGGGTAACTACACAAAACAGCCTGCCATGGTTTCGGGCGAGGAAGGACTAGGGCGGCAGCCCAGCGGGGTGATGCGGGGCTTCCCAGGTTTGACTTCCCAGGGTAGACTGCGGTCACCAACACCTACCGCTCGAGCGTAGTGATGATACTACGTCTTGAAGGTACAAAACAGCCTAGTTCATTTTGTTGGGGGTTTCAGAAAATGGTCTCCCCCTGGACCATTCAATTGTCAGGCTAACTGTGCGAAACAAACAGCCTGCCATTCTTTCGGGCTCAAGAGGACTTGGATGACGCCCCAGTGGGGTGATATGGGTTTCCCAGACTTACTTTCCGGGTTTGCGGTCACCAACACACCACTGCTCCTAAGATAACGCGGGGCGCTGCGTAGGGTAAACATCAGCCTAGTTCACTTTGCCCGGGCCTGGGGTTTTCCGGTTCTCTTGCTTGGGACTGAAATGAGGCGCGGGGTTTTGATGTACTCCCACGCGGGGAACCTTAACAGTGGGATCCCTAGTTCTCGCGTGGGTTTAACCCCTTGCCTCCCTCAGTCACTGCTCGCGCCATCACGTGTTCTGCGGCGCCGGTGTTCAGGTGGTAGAGGGTCCCGATGTCGTGGTAGGGCCTGGCAGGGGGTCTCGGTTGGTGGTGTGTCCGCGGCTCGTTCTCGGCGCTCCAGGGGCAGTGGAAAGCCTCAAGCAAATGCAGCACCGGGGTCCCGACGCGAGGTGTAGCACGCCAAACAGCAAATCCAGTCTATTTCAGACGTTGGAAGCCACTCTTCATGTTGACCCTGCTTTGGGGCCCGACGCCAGAGTGGATTGCAGCAAAAGCACATCCACTCTACTTGGCTTTTCTACTTTGGAAACAAATTTTCTTCCAGCTACCATTGTCGCTTCTGCGTCCTTGGAGCGGTGCTCCTCATGAGCCAGCAGAAGAGCAGAGAGGGGCTACTCCGCGGATCTTGCCAACCACCAGTATCACGACCACTCCAGTGACCACGACGGATCACCCATCATCTGCATGCCATCCCGCAGCCGCGAACACGTCGATGGACCCTGGCCCTGCTGTACCGAGAAAGACGGTCCATGGCCTGCGTGAGCCCGCAGATCGTGGCAGGAAGGGCAGAATAGGGGATCGCCAGGGATGGCGTGGCCTCAGGCGTTGACATCGCTGAGGGAGGCATCCCAGCTACCTCCGTGCCAAAGCAATTCGCTGCTCCCGCTCCGCGATCTCCAAATGCAGCTCTTCTCCCACCTTGATGCCGCTGTCGCCAATACCGTTGTCGCGGAGGATTAGCTCCTTCAAGGCGGGGCATCCGCCCAGGCCAGCAGCGAGAGCCTGGAGGCCGCTGTCGCCGATGCGATTGCCGAAAAGCAGATGGCCAGCTTCAAATCTGCGAGGCCCTTGGCGATGGCCTGGAGGCCTCTGTCGCCGATGCGATTGCCAGGGCCTGGGCTCCAGAGTCTCCGATGGCGTTATTCGCCAGCTTCAGCTCAGTGCGTCTTCCAGGGCCTGTGCCCCCAGTTCTCGTAGGTTAGGTTGTTGTGAGGCTTTGGCGATGGCCTGGAGGCCGCTGTCGCCCATGCAATTGCCGGCGCCAGCTTCAGCCCTTGATGTTCGGGAGAGCTTTCAGTGCGTCTCCCAGGGCCTGCGCCCCCACGTCGCCGAAGCCGTTCTTGCACCAGTTCTCGTACGTTCTTGTGGTCTGCGAGGCCGATGGCCTGGAGGCCGCTGTCGCCCATGCAATTGCCAGCGCCAGCTTCAGCTCCTTGATGTTCGGGAGAGCTTTCAGTGCGTCTCCCAGGGCCTGCGCCCCCACGTCGCCCAAGCCGTTCTTGCAGAGGTCCAGTTCTCGTAGGTTCTTGTGGTCTGCGAGGCTTTGGCGATGGCATGGAGGCCGCTGTCGCCCATGCAATTGCCAGCGCCAGCTTCGGCTCCTTGGTGTTCGGGAGAGCTTTCAGTGCGTCTCCCAGGGTCTGCGCCCCCCAGTTCTCGTAGGTTCTTGTGGTCTGCGAGGCCCTTGGCGATGGCCTGGAGGCCGCTGTCGCCCATGCAATCCTTGATGTTCGGGAGAGCTTTCAGTGCGTCTCCCAGAATCTGCGCCCCCCAGTTCTCGTAGGTTCTTGTGGTCTGCGAGGCCCTTGGCGATGGCCTGGAGGCCGCTGTCGCCCATGCAATTGCCAGCGCCAGCTTCAGCTCCTTGATGTTCGGGAGAGCTTTCAGTGCGTCTCCCAGGGCCTGCGCCCCCATGCACGTCGCCGAAGCCGTTCTTGCAGAGATCCAGTTCTCGTAGGTTCTTGTGGTCTGCGAGACCCTTGGCGATGGCCTGGAGGCCGCTGTCGCCGATGCGATTGCCGAAGAGATACGGAGTGGCCACCCAGACCTCCAAGGGCCTGGGCTCCAGAATCTCCGATGGCTCCTTGAAAACGTCGCGGCAACTCGCTTGCCCCATGGCGACCGCGCACCTAAATTTGAACGCTGTAGTACGGCTTGGGCAAAATTAGCTTGCTACATGTTTTGAACATTGACTGATCTGAGCCTGGGTGGGCTGCTTGAGCCAAAATGGCCACTCTCTCTCTCTCTCACGATCGCTCTGTCTGTCCCTACATATAAAGACGTATACATACAAACAGTGCCAGCTATGACATATATGTATTCTTGCAGGATTCAACACCGTCATTACGCGTTTTGGAACCGAGCTCTATGAGAGAGAGCCCGCGGCAGTGCTCCTCAAAGTTGGAGAAAGATGCAGGCAATGCTGCCGCCGAGCGATTGTTAAACGTGATGCGTTCAACTGAGCCTCCCTGGCCCAGCTGGATCACGGGCGCTGTCGCCCGCAGGAGAACGCCCTCATCAGGGTCCCGATATTCAAAGGGATGTGGGGTCTCCGAAAGCAGCTGGAATGATTGCGGATCTTGTCGACGAAGCTCCTCAGCAACCCGGAACCCATCAATGAAGAGCGTAGCGCCACCAGATTCCGCACCCTGCAAGCAGTGTAGCATCTGCACGCCTGGGAAAGGGTCCCTGTATGGGTTGTCTGTGTGGGCACGGATCCTCTGGCTGGTAAAGGCAAGGTTTGTAGCCTGAGCACCTTTGTCCTTCACGTCAAAAATAGACCCGTAGTTTGTAACCCGAACGTGGCCGATTTGGTTCCCCACCTTGGCAACCATGCCATTCTCGACATGAACGCCTCGGATGATCCCGAGCCCATATCTTTGAAGATAGGTGCAGAGTTGCACTTTCCCCATCTGCGTGCTGAGGGATGTGTACGGAACCTCCGGGAGGAACTGACCCAAACCTCTGTTCCACAGGTAGCTCTCGACTTTTTTGGGCCGCATCTGCCGCTCAAGCCAGTCCCAAGGGTATTGGCTCTGCGTGCCGTCGCTCCAGGACACCCGCAACTCCGTTGCAGCACTGGCGCAGCCTGCGATGTGCGGACCTGGGACAGCATGAGTGCCAAGGAGCGAAAAGCGAGGGCAACATGGGGAGCCGCAATGCATGTAAAGAAGCAGAGTGGGTGCTCTAGAACTAAGTGTCAATCACCAGAAACACCTTCCCTCTTGCATCTCCGAAAGGCTAATGCTGCCAGTCACGACGCTGGACATTTCAAAAAGGCGCTGCTGGTTCCTGGTGGCCTAGCAAGAGGCAAAGAGTAGGCAAAAGCCGGCTTATCACAGACCGCCTGCCAAACCTTGCCATCCATCCCCAAACTACTAGAATCGTGTGAAAGTTGCAAAGGGTCGCATCAAGAAACCAAAACATCCCTGAGCTTCAGCGTCTGGGAACCTGCGACTTGGAGCGCCCATGCTGTTCACCCTTTTGTGCTGTTCATTAGATGCGATCATCGTGCCGCCCAGCCTGGCTTGGATCATTCAAGCGAAGCCACAAAGGATGCAACTCCACACAGGCCTTCCCGGCATCAGAGTTTGCTGGACACTTCAGATCTACAAACAATGCAGGACTCGAATGTCTGCCATCCACAAGATCCCTGACCCCACACGCGATACCAATGCCCAGTCAATATCCCAGTCAATATCCCAGTCAAGATTGAGGTCTACCTAAAGACTGCATGTTCGATATGATCCAGATCTTTCTCCTTGTCCGGCCACGCCAGAGAGATCCTGTCTGATGCAGTTGTAAGCACAAAAAACATGATTCCAGAACGACGCCGCCAGGACAAAATTCTCTCCTCAATCTCCCTCGTTGCCATTTGTCCTCTATACACCCTGCATAATACCTCAACGTTACATTGCCCACGTCCTTCCAGCCGCGGTTTTGGCGGCTTGAACGCAGCGCTGCGCCATGGCGTGCTGCATACGCGGGAAGATGACTCCTAATTGCTAGTTATGTCTCAGGCAACTGCCACAGTGCATGTACATCATGCCGACCCCTGCTGTTTTGGGACTGCAATGGAACTGAGCAGCACTTGCGCACCAGGCTCTGTGGCAAGAGACTTTGGGCCTGAACAGCGGTAAGACAGCCCCATGCAGCTTCGCCGGGCCAGCTCCCAGCATGTGCAGCCCTCAGTCGGGCCCCTGGCTGCGAGAGATAAGGGCACCAAGCGCCAGTGCGATCCTGCGGACTGAGAGAACTGTGGCGGTTTCGGGTCTAGCGTTCGCCTTGCGTTTTCCTCAACTCTACAAGCTCCACACCTTTCAAGAGAAGATGATGGACCAGTGACACGTTAACGACGGCGCCACGGTCGAGTATGGAAAATAATAGTCAGGTTACATGCAGCGCGGGCACTCCAGGGCACTCCAGGGCACCAGTGTAGCAGGGAACTAGTCGGGGCAGGGAACTAGTGCTTCGGATAGCTCCTCGCGCCGTGCGCGTTCGCAATCGTGCCTCAGTGCCCGATTCGCTACGAGGTCGAAACTTGAACAAGGCTTGCCATATATCCTGAGGATCAGCGACTCAATTTCCAAGGCCCTAGTGGCACCTGGTGAGGCTGCAGGGCATCCTGAAGCCCGCGGGTAATTCTAGCTAGGGTTTAGGGTTTAGGGTTTAGGGTTTAGGGTTTAGGGTTTAGGGTTTAGGGTTTAGGGTTTAGGGTTTAGGGTTTAGGGTTTAGGGTTTAGGGTTTAGGGTTTAGGGTTTAGGGTTTAGGGTTTAGGGTTAGGCATTTGGCTCAGAGAACACCTGCTCGGTCTAGGGTTTGAGAGTCTAGTTTGCCTGGATCTTGACGTCATGCCACATCCCAGCACAAGTCCAAAATTCTTCTCAATACTGCGCATTGCCCAGAATCTTTACTCCATGTGGAAATTCCCAGAATTCATCAAGTCTATTCCGGGTTCCTGGCCAACATGGCGGCAAGCTTCGTAAAGAAAGGTTCGCTGCAGAAACACAATGTCCAACTCTGGGAGAAGTGGGGGTGACTGTAGACGAGTGGCTGCTGAGTTCTCTGATCTCTTCATGTTTGATATGTCGCAGAACCAGAACGTTCAGTCAAAGAGCTGACAAGTTGACATGCAAAGCTCCATATTTCGCAGGCTTGGTCGGCTTAAGGTTACTTAAGCTTCTGCCAAAGGGAAGCATGCACATCGGAAGAATCAGTCAGAGGCTTGTTGAAGAACAGGGGCCAGCAGAGTTGCCAGCGATGGAACGATGGTTCTGAGACCGCGCGCGAAATTCTTTGAGAAGTTAAGAACTAACTGCTTAGTCGTGGTGCGGAGCTTGCACAGACGAGACATCCTAACAACCTCAGCCCTATGAGACTGTGATTCCATTTTCGAATCGATGCTCTCACGTCGTCTGCCTCTCCACTCTGCAGCCCATGGGCTTCTGACACCTGCGGACATCAAAGCACATCCTTCCGCATCCCCGCCCTCCCGCCCTCCCCCCCGCCCCCCCGCCCCCCCGACCCCCACCCCCCCCCCCGACCCCCCCCCCCCCCCCCCCGCCCCACACCAAAACACGTTACACGGTCTCTGGCTGCATACTTTAGTGATCCGGATGCTGCTCTAGGCTTTGATTGAGGGGAAAACCGGGGAGTGATGGCTGGAGCCCACCTCTACAATGCGGAGAGCACGTTCCGATGTTGTATAGGGGGGAGCTGTACTGTTGATTTCCTATGCTTTTTGAGGGGCGAGCTGTGATGTTGATGTTGTGGGGGAGGCCAAGTTCTAAACCCAACTCTTTTGCGTACGTTCACGGTTGCAACAGGACAAGGGTTCCTGACGTCTGGAGCCCTTGCAACCGCAAACCCTAAACCCGACAGAAACCCTGTCAAGACATGCTTGTGCCTTGGCTTGGCCTGGTGGAGGCTTCACATGGGATCCTGTTGGAAGGTCTGGTCACAGAATTCGGCAGCCAATGCTTCGAACCTCGCGAGGGGTCGCAGGCTTTGGGATTCATCTCTGGGGGAAATCGGGGGTTTGACTGTTGAAGCCCATAAGGCCCATAAGCCTAAACCCTGCTCAACTGTCTTTTTGGGGGTTTTTGGGGATGCTGTCGAGGTTCGAGGCTTATGCAATGTCAGCTACAAACATAGGCTTGGCCTCAGGAGACCTTATCGGATGTGCAACTTGAGCCAACCTTGTGATCCACAATGGCGAGATGGTTTGGTGCCCAAGGTTGTTGACAGGCCACATGCCTCTAGTCAAATTTGGGCTGTGGAGAGCTACAAGCATCCTATGCACACCACAGTGCGCTTAGAACCTCAGAATACCAACCCGGTTCCATCAGCAAGTTGCGAAGGCTTTGGCCCGAAACTGTGCCATGCTTAGCAGAGGCAAAAGCAGCTCGTGGCACGACAGGGCTCTCATTTTCATGAACCTTCGCGGGAGGATCGAGGATCGAGCATCTATTGGGAGGCTTTACTTCCCGATGTAAGATCTTGAACAGGGGCGGTGTGCCTAAAACTGCCAGTGTCCGACATATCATGTATCCATGTATCCGCGAGTAGTTGGAAGACTCTGGCCCCAGGCACCTTCGAATTCAGGAAGGTGCACGCTAGAAGGGACTGTTGTCCCCAACAAGGGTCTCACTGTGTATGAGACCTTTGAAGCAAGAGTGAGGGCTGTAGGTCAAACTGAAATGTCAGGCACATACTACTAGGATCTTTTAGGTTTGTACCACTAGCCAGTTCCTATCTGGTTCGTTTGCGTAGAATCTCAGTACGTCTTAGCATGGGGATGGCTCGCAATGGAACGCCGCAGCTACACACGACCAAGCGTTCAACGCTATCGTCTGACTGATCTTCGCGACAACACGGATCGTCTTGCTAAGCCATGGTCGGTGAGGCTTGCAAAGAAACACCCAGCCACGAGAACCATTGCCAGTGAGTATGATCTTTACGGTCTTTACGTAGACCCCCGCCTGCAGCCTAAACCTTCAGCTTGAAGCCCTTGTAAGAGCCCGGAGGACATGATTCTTCTACATGAACTACATGAAGCTGCAGGACCCTCCGGGCTTGCCCATGCCCACTGTAGCGAGATCCCTCTAGCAGCGGAGCATGAGACCTTCAGCAACCTACTATTTGCTTAAGAACCCCCCCCAAAAAAAAAGAAACAAAAAAAACATCTGCCTTACAAGGGTAGTATAGGCTATAGGGATTAGTATTGTTTAGCTTTTGGGGGTTCTTCAGCAAATAGTAGCAGCGATGCAGCAACATACCACTTGAGCTTCGGGAGCGAAGGATATGTTTAACACTTGCAAGAATGCACGTCCGGGGACCAGTAAAAGACCGGTGGCAACTGTAGCTAGACAGGTTGCCTTCGGGATTCACTCTGGTCCAATCGGTGCTGTGCATTTCGCGGAGCGCCAATAGGAACCCAAGAGCAACTTCACATGCTTCTTCCTTTCTTTCCCATAAAGCACCTCGCCCACCCCCACCCCCCTCAGCAACAAACACGGTGCTTTAGTAATGTGCTACATGTCCGTCTGCGCCCTCCGAGAAACGCCGAGGAAACAAATTCGGAGAACTCGGTTGTGTCATGTGCTGTCGATCTGGCCTTTTGAGCCACTAGTTTTGCAGGCGAGGCTCGCTGCCAAGCTCTGTCTCACCATACCGAGTTCATGGGCACGCTGCTCATTTTTGCATCTGTGTGTTACGCGCGATAAGTTGGGATGTTCCCCCTTATACTAATTATAGGGGGTACTAGAATCCCCATAAGAGGACTGTTCATATTAGCACAATGGGGAACATCCCAAGCAATAAGGTCGAAGCTCTCAGCAAGCTTCCGACTGCTCCAGCGTGTTGGTGTCGTCGCTTTCCCCACTCATGCTGCTCACCACACTGTCCTTGCCATGCTGAGATACTCTGCTAGATGGGCCTGTTAAAACCTCCCCAGAGCTTTTGTCTTAAACATTCTCCTCTTAAACCCAATCAGGGGATGTACAAGACTTCCAAAGGTCCAACCTATGCCCGATACTCGCCTTTTCTCTCAACTGCCGGCCTGACTATGGTTCCTCCAAAACTGAGACCGTCTGTAAACCCTAAACCCTCACCCCTAAACCTTACACATCCTTACACCCTAAAACCCAAACCGCCCACCAGGAGCAACACCTTCATGCAAAGAACTCAGCAAGCCGAAGGCTCAACAAGCTCAAGGCTCTGGACTCCACGGACCTTCTCCATTTCTGCTTTTAGAAGCTTTTGTGTAGT